GTGAAATGGCCACGATGGAGCACGTGTCCTGCCGGACGGCCACCCGCCTGGGACCAGCGGGTGGTCAGCCGGGCCCCGCCCCGCCCCGCCCCGCCCCCAGGGGCCGCCCCCGCCCCGCCCCGCCCCGCCCCGCCCCGCCCCCAGGGGCCGCCGCAGAGGGGCCTCACCCGGGCCACGTCTGGTTGGGCTCAAACAGGATGAGCAGGGTGGGCTCGTAGTAGCCGTGCAGGAACTGCAGGTCCACGATGTTGAGCAGCTTCTCGTCCAGCGCCCGGACGTCGATGATGTAGCTGGGCAGGAAGCTGGACCTCTGCCTGGGGGGCGAGGGCTTCAGCGGGCGGGGGGCGGGGGGCAGGGGGCAGAGGGCAGAGGGCAGGCGGGGGTGCGGGGTGCGGGGGTGCGGGGGGCGGGGGGCAGGCGGGGGGCGGGGGGCAGAGGGAGGGCGGGGTGCGGGGGGCGGGTGCGGGGGGCAGAGGGAGGGGCGGGGTGCGGGGTGCGGGGTGCGGGGTGCGGGGGTGCGGGGGTGCGGGGGTGCGGGGGGCGGGGGGCGGGTGGGGCCCGGCCCCCCACGCGCCCTGGCACTCACCCCTCGCCCACGAGGCCCTCGTGCTCCTCGGCCAGGCTCTCCCTGCGGAAGGGCAGCACCACCAGCCGCGTGCCGTAGATGAGCATGGCCGCGCAGCGCCCGTCGGGGTCCACACGCACCCGTGGCGTGTGCACGTTCTGCACGAACCCGTCCTGGGGGTGCAGAGCCATCAGGCAGGCCGTGGGGCCAGGGGCCAGGAGCGGCCTCGGGGGAAGCAAGGGGTGGGCGCCGCCTGCCTACCCGCAGCTCCGGCTCCTCAAAGTAGTGCAGAGACAGCGTCTTCAGGTCATGGGTGCCCGGGTCGTACTCCACCACAGACAGCTGGGGACGGCAGGCCAGAGCTTCCACCCGCCACTGAGCCCTGCCCGCCGGCCAGCCGCCACCCACCACTGCGCCCAGGACCCGCCAAGCCCACCGCCCACCTTGGCATCTTTGAAGCTCAGCAGCAGGGCGTCCCGCTTGGCGCCGGCCAGCTGCACGCTGGCCATGGACATGACGTTGCCGAAGAAGGAGAAGGACGCCACCAGCTCCAGCTTCTCCCGATGCTCCCTGTGCGCCTTGCCCTCTGGGGAGGGGTGGGCACAGGTTTGACACCCGCACTGCAGCCACCCACCCTCAGGCACGACCCGGCTCAGCCGCGGTGCTCACCTGTGCTCCTGTCATTCTTGGCTGCGGCCTGGAGGAAGGAGGGGAGAGTGAGGAGGCGCCCTGCACCAGGGCCCACCACGTGGGAGGACCAAGAGGAACCACCACCCAGGGCGGCTCGCCTGGACCCCCATGGAGAGGGGAGCACGAGGCCTGTGGAGAGCCTCGCACACCCACCCACGGGCTCACACGGGGTCCCCGTCCTGGACACAGGCTTCTCCTGAGCCCACCCCAATCAGGGCCAGAGGCTGGGCAGATGCTCTACACACCCCTCACCTGCCTGGCTCTGCCCCAGAGTGAACACGGCCGCAGACAAGGGGGAGGGTGTAAACGGCTGGAGCTGGGTCACTTGGGGCAAAAGTGCTCAGTTGAGCCAAAATGTCAGAAATCAAGGAGGCCTGCAGTACCTCCAATGTAACTAATGAGGAAATGACACAAAACGTGCAACAAAAAAACAAATACAGATCAAAGCCAAAAGGAATGAAACAGTGAGAAATAAAGGAACAACAGGAAGACTCTGAGACAGTCCTTCAGCCCCAAACACGAGACCACCTCCGTGTGGACAAACACTCCAACGAGAAGGTGTGTTCCTGCTGGACAGGCTGGGTCTTCAGGTGAAAAGTATTCATGACTAAGAAGTCAGTTCACAAGTAAAAAGGACTAAAAACGTGTAACATCGCCCTAAGTCGGTCTTATGAAGCAGCTTTAAAACACACACACACACACACACACACACACACTTCTCGACACTCCTGCCGGGCAAGTACACCACCTCGGCCATCTCTAGAATTGACTTGGATATTCTTAATTTTTGTGTCTTTCGTGTAAATTTGGGAGATTACTAAATCTGGTGAGGAATCTGTTGCAGATTTGAGATGAAGAACGGTGATGGATGAGCCAGGACCTGTGCTTGGGGTTACGCTGAGCCGCTCAGGGGTGTGGCCAGGACACCGCGCACCCACTGAGGACCCTGCCCAGCTCCCCCTCGGCATCGCCTCCTGCCCGCGCGTCACCTCTGGTGTGCGAACTGGCAAACTTCCCTGGGAAGGGCCAGAGGCAGATGTGGGGCGCAGCCTTTGCAGTCAGGTCTCCTCCGTCGAGGATTCCTCTTTGGGGTTTTTCCAGCTCTTAAAGGTCCCAGAGACCTCCAACCCTGCTCTCCCGGCTCTTTCCCTTCCAGCCAATACGCTCATCTTTGCAACGAGCCTTCTTTTCCTGACAGCCACTCCTCCGTCTCTTCCTCCCTGTGCCCACGCCCCTCAAGGCTGTCCCCGCTCCCCAGACAGTCTACTCCGCACCCCACCGGCCCGGAGGGCGTCCCCGCGGCCCGCGGCCCGCGCCCCTCCACTCGCCACCCGTGACTCTGAGCCTCACTCGCCGGAGGCCTTCCCGGCGTAGCACTCACCCCCCGGCAACCCAAGGGCCCCCCGACTGCCTCCCCGGCGGAGCTCCCTGCGCTTCCCGGCCCTCCGCCACCGGCTCCCACCGGCTCCCACTCCGCCTCGGGGAGGCGCTCTGCTCCGCCGGCTGGAAACACGCGGCCTCCGCCATCGTCTGCTCCCCCGCCCGCCTGTGGCAACCCACGTGTGCTCACAGGTGCGACTCCTTTTAGGGGAAGTTCCCCGACCCCGCTCCTTTTAGGTTTTGTTCACCCACTACTGACCCCACAGCAGGCGTTCCCGTCCCGACTTATGGGAGAAACAAAAGAGCAAGCAGGATGCCCGATGCCCGACGCACGGGGGAGGGCGGGCGCCCCGGCGGGGGCTGGGGCGGCGGGGAACGTGGCGACCTCGCGCTCGAGCGCTGGGACCGAGGGCTCCCCCGGCCCTTGGGCCGCCGCCTCGGGGGGCCCCGGCGGTGGAGGCGGGGCCGGCGGCTTGCCTACCTCGGCGTCGCGGTTCAGGCGGTACACGTAGAGCTGCGAGGTGCCGGCCACCACGAGGTTGCGCTCGCTGTTGTTGAAGAAGTTGCAGTACATGGAGAACTCGAGGCCGGTGGGCGGGTGCGCCTGCTTGTACACGGCGTACATGGTGCCGGGATCGGGCTACGCGGGGCCAGAGCGAGAGGGAGCCGGCCGCCCGCCCGCGGCCACCCTCGCCTGGCGGTTGGAGCCGGCTCGCGGGGGACCGGGACGGCGCTGAACACGGTCCGGCCGGGCCCGGAAGCTGAGCGCGGAGGTTCCGGGCCGTACGCCTGCGCAGTGCCCCGCGGCGGAGCGGCTGCGGGGGCGACAGCGGCCCCTGGTGGCCACGGGGAGGTTGGGCGGTCCCGCGTCTAGAGCTCCGACGCCCCGAGCTCGCCCAGAGCCCCCGGTCCCGCTGCGGGCGAGGGGCGGCGGCTCCGGCCGGCTGGGCCCCGCCTGACCCGGGATGGGGTCCGCCCGCTGGCGGTCCCTGCAGGAAGAGGCGAGTCTCCCGGCCCCGAGCGAGGCGCTGTGCCCGGAGCTGGCGCCGGAGTGAGCGAGGAGAGCCTCCGAGTGTGGACCGACCTGGAGGGAAGGGGCGCCCCGGCCGGTGCCGCCCGCCGGCGTGGAGGAAGCCCGGCCAGCTCCGGGCTAGGAAAGCTTCTGGCCTCGTCCTGTGTGGCCTCTCAGCTGTCTCCCCTGCCGGCTTTCCCCCTCCCCGCCCCCCGCGGAGCAACCCCCAAACCCAGGCGCCTGGGGCCTCGTGTTCGCCAGTCCTCCCGCCCCCCCTCTTCCCTGCTCGCCCCCAGCACAGCGATCTTCTCCTGGTCTCGCTCCCTCCCCAGGCCGCCGAGCACAGTTGTCCACGTTGAGGACCCTGAGCCAGGACCTCTCACAGCTAAGCAGCCTCTCCTCCCTTGGCAGGGAGTCACCCCAGATACTCTGGGGTAGGCCTGGGCCTTAGAAACAGAATCACAAGAAATAAAGGAAGTAGTCACACCCGAAGAAATGGGAAATAACGCGTGTTGCATGCAAGTTGGCCCACTTGCTCACAGCAGCAACCAGGCCCCACGGCTGGACGGTGGAGCTGGGCAGGAGGGGCCACTGGCTGCCCAGGCAGGTGTGTGACCCCTGAGCTGCACCAAACCCCTTCAAGGGTCCTAAGTCCTGAGGCCGGGACTGAGGGATGTGCTGAGGAGGCAGCACACTAGCTCCCGGCATCCACGTCACAGGGACCGGTGGTAACCGAGTAAGCTGGGCCCACAGGCGGGTCTGACTGGCCTGGCCAAGTGCCCTAACCAGGGAACAGGAACTGGTCTGTGGGGGCGGCGGTCAGTGCTCAGATGGACACTGAAGGAGCAGCGAGGGGAGCGCAGTGGTGGTGGGTGCAGCTCCCACTCAGGCAGAGGGGCTGGAGGTCTCGGGATGGCCAAGGTGGGCCTGGCCTGCGTGGAGGTGCTGGAAGGGAGGGGATGGGCTGGGGCTAGGGTGCTGGCTGGCTGCTGGGAAACGCCTGTGCACAGCCACACCAGACCCTGGCACTGCCCCCCTCAAAGGCCTTTCTTGTTGGGGGCCCTCCCCTCCCCAGAAGAGCAGATTGGGCAACAAGGGCAGGAACATTTTTTTCTTTGTGTATTTTTATTGATTTCAGAGAGGAAGGGAAAGGGAGGCAGAAACATCAATGATGACAGAGAATCATGGACAGGCTGCCTCCTGCACAGGATGGAGTTCACACAACCCAGGCATGTGCACTGACTGGGAACTGAACCGTGACCTCCTGGTTCATAGGTCCACGATCACCCAGCCACGCGGGTGGAGCCAGGAATGGCTGGGGCAGGGGGAGGGGCTCCTCAAAGGCCCAGGCGCTCCAGGCGCCCAGCTGTGGTCCAAGAGGCTGAGACTGGGGCCGGGAGCCAGGCTCCGGGCTGCAGAGCGGGAGGCTCAGAGGGCGATGTCGTCCTCGTACAGCGACAGCAGCAGCAGGATGGCCCAGCCGCCCAGCAGGCCCACGTTGTGCAGCAGGAAGAGCAGCCAGGGCCTCCGGTCCCGGATGCTTAGCATGGCCGGGAGCTGAGGAGGAGACATCGGTGAGCAGTCAACGGGGCTCCCGCTCAGCCCCCCGCCAGGCCCCCGCCTCGCCCGGCCCTGACCATGTCGCAGAGCGCCACGTAGAGGAAGAGGCCGATGGCCACCGCCAGGATCCAGGACTCGCTCTCCTCGCCGACGCCCACCGCCAGCGCCACGTAGAGGCCCACGAAGGCCGTGAGCGCCGAGACCAAGTTCAGCAGCAGCGCCCGGGGCACCGACAGCCCGGCGTGGAGCAGGGCCGCGAAGTCCCCTGGGCAGGAGGCCGGGGTCAGAGCCGAGCCCGCGCTCCGACAGGCCCCGCCCCGCCCCAGGCCCCGCCCCTCACAGCTCCCTGCAGATCCCGCCCCCTCAGCAGCTCCGACAGGCCCCGCCCCTCCAAGGCCCCGCCCCCTCACAGCTCCCTGCAGGCCCCTCCCACCAGCAGCTCCAATAGGCCCGCCCCAGGCCCCCCCCACTAACAGCTCTGACAGGCCCCGCCCCGCAGCTCCCTGCAGGCCCCGCCCCGCCAAGGCCCCGCCCCTCCTTGCTCACCCAGCTCATGTGGCACCTCGTGGCAGAACACAGCCAGCGAGGTGGCCAGCCCCGTCTTCCAGGAGGACGAGAAGGCGGCGCCCAAGGCCAGCCCGTCGGCGAAGTTGTGCAGGCCGTCGCCCAGTGTGATCATGTAGGGCAGCAGCCTCAGCTCTGCGGGTGCGGCGGGCGTGAGTCGTCATAGGCCCGGCTGCGGCCATTCCCCTGACCCCCAACCCTCCTGGGGCCCCCCCAGGGCTCACCTGGACTCAGCCTCCGGGCCCCGCGGCTCAGTTCAGGGCTCTCCTCCACCACCTGTGGGAAGGGACATGTGCGTGAGCACCTGAAAGTTGGGGGGCTGGGGCCAGGTCACCGTCAGGGGAGCAGCGGGAGCCTGGGGTGCAGGCGCTGGGAGTGGGGGCTCACCAAGTCTGCCCGGGAGCTCTCGTGGGGCTGCTTGGGCTGGTGGAGCTCCCGGGGCGCCAGCTGCAGAGACATGCCGTGGCTGTGGCCGTGGCTGCGGCTGCCGTGGCGGCCACCGTGGCCGCAGGACTCCTCCTTCAGGTCCTGTGGGGACAACAGCTTAGGGCCTGCTATACCCCTTCCCCACCTGCCTCCCCACCCAGTCCCACAGGCCTGACCTCGGGGTCCTGGGGCAGCAGGAGGTCACAGAGTTTCTCAAACAGGAAGAAGATGTACAGGCCCCCGAGTGCCACCAGGAGGCGCCAGATGGGCTGCGCGCCGTGGTCTTCGTGGTCGGCCCCTCCGAACTCACTGTGCCCGCTGTGCTGGTGCAGCCCCAGAACCTGGGAGCGGGGCGGGCACGGGTGGGCTGCCTCAGGGTCTCCCTCCCGCAGAGGTTAGGGTTCAGGGGAAGGGCCCAAGGAGGGCGGGCCTGGAGGAGGACCGTGCAGGGGCGTCCGGGGCGGGCGGCAGGGTCCTGGCCCCAGGGCTGACCTTGGGCGTCAAGTGCAGGAAGGCGTCTCCGGTGAGCGCGCCCACGGCCAGGCCCAGGAAGGTCTGGATGACGTAGTGGGTGACCCCGCTGCAGGCGGAGCAGAGGAGGAGCAGGAGGCCGCACACCGAGGCGAGGCAGATGAGCAGGGTGGCCAGGGAGCCGTACAGGTACTCTGGGGGGGGCGGGGAGTGAGCACCCAGGGCCGAGGTGGTCAGGGCCGGCCGGGCCGCTGCTGGCGCTAACTTCTCCTCCTGAAGCTCCACCCCCTCCCTCCCAGGCCTCCCACACGATCCTGGGACCCCTCCGCTCCACCATGTTCCCCACCCGCCCAGCACCACTCCCTGCTCTGGGGCAGCCCCCTGCCGTGGCCAGGCCACTGGGCACAGCCGGGCAGGCTGACCCCGGGGCGGGGACAGGCGCTCACTCTCTGCCTCGCTGAGCTGGTCCTGGACGCTGACGCTGGGCTGTGGGCTGCAGGCGCCGCTCAGCTGCTGCTGGAGCAGCGCGGGGCTCAGCAGGGCCCAGGCCTCCGGGGACACGCCAGCCTGCTCCGGCAGCCCGTACACGGCCAGCACGTCCCTGGCACTCAGGCACACCTGGGGGTGGCAGGGCTGGGGGTCAGGACGGGAGCAGCCGGGGGACCCCCTCCCCAGGGCCGCGGCCCCGGGCTGCTCACTGTGTCCCACACGCTGGCGCTGCTGCTGTTGGGCGGGGCCGCGGCGGCCCTCTTTCTCAGGTGACGGTGGTCGTGGTCGTCGCCGTGGTCGCCGTGGTCCCCGTGTCTCGCGGCCGAGCCACCCACCCCCAGCTGCTGCATCAGGGCCGCCAGCTCTGGCCGAGGGGACAGAACCAGTCCGTGAGGCCCCCGCCCTGCCCTCCCGGGGGGCACGTCCCACTGGGGGCACGTCCCACTGGGGGCACGTCCCACTCGGGGGCCCGCCCGGGCCTCACCGTCCAGCGTGATGTTGGGAGAGTCCCCTCGGTGCTGCCGGAACACGTAGTCCACAAAGTACTGGGGGCTGGGCAGGGCGTGGACGCAGGACCCATTTTGGAGGTGGTCCAGCAGCACGGCCAGCACTGGGCCGGGGCTGCCCGGAGCCCCCGCCCCCGCCGCCTGGTCCAGCAGCCCAGGCAGGTCCACGCAGGCCTGGGGGGGGGGCCAGGGGCTCAGCGGCACCGCCTTGTGGCTCTCCTGGCCCCAGCATCACCACCGCCCCCGTGGCCCCCATCCCACTCGGTGGTGAGCACCCACAATGACCCCAACCAAGCCCACCCTCCGAGTGGGTCCCTTCTCTTCGGCCCCCCTATCCCCCCGCCGGCCGCCCCCGCCGGCCGCCCCGGCCCTCGGCCCTCGGCCCTCGGCCCTCACCTCCTCTGCGGAGGGCCAGCCGGCGGACCGGGCCTGAATCCTCCGCAGCAGCCGGCTCAGGCCTGGGGCCAGGCCCTCAGGGCCCGCGAGCAGGGCCAGAAGGCTGTCTGCTCGGGAGGCCCAGCGGCCAGCCCGGACGTCCTGGCAGGTGCCCTCGGGGTCGCTGAGGTAGAGGGCGGCGGCCGCACTGAGGCGGGGGACGTGCTCCGGCTCCAGGACCGACTCCGGGGTCGGCCGCGGCCCCTTGGGCCGGCCCAGGGCCAGGAGGTCTTCCACAGACAGGCACTGCGGGCGAGACAGGTGAGCGGCCGGCCCCTGGGTCCCAGGGAGCTGCCCCCCTCACCCCCCGCCCCCATCCATGGCTCCCACACCCCCTCCAGGACGGCGCACCCAGGGGGCCCAGGCAGTGGTCCCCCTTCCAGGCGGTTTCTCCCCGGAGTCACTGCCTGGGGCCGACGGGAGAGGTGGCCCTGGGTGCCCATCACGGCCTGCTCCGGGGAGAAGGCTGGGCTTGGGCCCGGCAGGGCCGTCAGGTTTGGCCTCTGCCCGCCTCCTGGAGTTTGTCCCTGGGAGGAGCGGGTGGCCGGCCGGAGGGGACCTGCCGGGTGGGGGTGGGGCGCCTACCTTTCCACACGGCCCCTCGTTGCAGTGCGCACGGGCCGCAAGCCTATTTAACAGGCCGCCCAGGGCCACGCGGTCCAGAGCGCCCAGGGCCCAGGACCTCGAAGGCGGCAGGTGAGCGGGCGTGGCTGCCGCCAAGGTCACCGCCAGCACCGCCAGCAGCAGCCCTGGCGTCTGCGGGGTCCGGACGGCCATGCCGAAGCCTCAGCCGGGGAGCGGGCGGGGGCGGCTGCGGGCAGACAGGGCTGCCTGGGGCCAGACTGGGGCTAGGCGCGGGCTCTCTCCCAGGTAGTCCCAGCAGGGCTCTGTGATTGGCTGTCAGCAGAGTCGCAGATTAACCATTCCAGGGGCAGGTCTTCCCCAGAACGAGGAGCCGCGGCCGGGGGCTGTGGGGCCTGGCCCGGGGCCTGGGGCGGCGGAGGGGCCGGGAGAAGCTCTCCTGGAATTTCCTGCTGTGCTGTCCCCGTCTGACAGGAGGCTGAGCATCCAGGACAGACGCGCTGCCTGCGGGGACGAGGGCCCCTTCCCTGGACTCACGGCCTGGGGGTCCGCTGCCTGCTGCTCCCCTCAGGGCCTCCGCACCGCCTCCTCCTGCAGTTGTTTCTCGGGGTGCCCCCAAGCAAGGATGCTCCCCGACATTCCACCTGAGCGACTCCTCCGCCCCTTCCCAAGGGTCCTCCCTGGCTCCGGAGCTGAAGGGCCCCCAGAGCCTTGAGAACGCGGAGCCTTGCCCCGGGGCCCAGGGCTGAAGTCTCCGCGGGAGGTGGGCTGAGTCACGTCCCCTCCCCCGAGGCTCCTGGGGAATTCCTCAGGAAATGGCCGAGCTGGCAGCCAGCCTGCTTGTCTCTCCCTCCTTTGGCACCTGGGGGCAGGGGGCCTCTTGGGTGTGGCGTCTAGCCTGGCCCTTCCCTGAGGCTCCCTCCCAGCCTTTGACCGGGCTGCCGAGCTGGCGTCTGGGGGAAAGGGCCAGCCTTGCCTCCTGACCCTGGGCCCTGCCTAGTGAGGGGGTGGGGAGGGGGAGCTCCCGGCAGCAGGGACCCAGGTCCCAGGACAGAGCCACGGTGCCTTCTGCGGGGAGGGGTGTGTGTGTGTGTGTGTGTGTGCAAGGGAAGGGGCAGGACCCAGGTGGGGTTCAGATGATTCTGGACGCTGGTGCAGTGGGGGGTGGGGGTAGGCTGGGTTCAGGTTCCCCTCACAGTTCTGAGGGCTGAGCCCATCTGCCTTGCACCAGGACCCCCTGGCAGGCTGGAGCCCAGGCCACCCGCTGCCTGGGGCCTGTCAGCTTCTGGGAAAGGTCTCCGCCCTGTCTGGCACCTGCTGGCAGGCCTCGGGACCTCCCAGTGCTGTCCTCTTTCCTCCGCTTCTGCCTGCCCCCCCTCTTCCCACTGATGCCCCCTCCTAGCTCAGCCGGGACAGATGGGGTCCCCAGCGGCCTCTGTGCTGGTGTGGGTCTGTTCGGTGGGTGCCAGGCCCCTCTGGCATCGTCCCACCATCTAATAAACTCATTGTGATCACAACACTCACACACCCTGGTGGGTGGGTCCAAAGCAGAATGTGGGAAGCAGGTGTCTGCTCAGATGGACACATGTGTTCACATCAAAACACTCAAACCGTGAAGAGTCTTTGTGAGTTCGCTTGAACCAAACTGTCCACAATTGCTGGGAAGCAGACCCTCAGGGAGAATGGGGCTACATCTGCATTTATACCTGGCCATCAAAGGGGGGACGGAGGTGGGTTACAGGAAATCCTCTGGGGATGGACTAGAGAGGTGGGAGAAAGCAAAGCAGGGAAACCCCTGGGACTGGGTAAAAGGTAAAATGATGGACACGTGCTTAGGTGAATGCAGGAACAATTAACATGATAATGAAGGAATTTGAGGCATCTGCCCTGGAGCCCAGCACATGTCCACGCATGTATGTGTACAAGGTCCTTGGTGGGTTACCTCCCCTACTTCCTTCCAGAGAAAGGAAAGTTGCGAGTGACAGTTTAATTTCAGGCCATCTTTTGTGGTCACTTTAGGTATCTGAGTTTGCAAGAGCACCATGCAGGCCTCTGGTGAACCTGCCAGTTCAGCACGTGCTCCTTTCGTCCACACTGAAATACAGATGCGTCCTGTTCAGCCTTAACAGCAAAGGAATCCTGGCTCATGCTGCTGAGAGAGGAAACCTGCCCTGGCCCCTCCCCACAGCCTGCCTCTTGAGACCTTTGACCCCTGGCCCTATCTTTGTCCCGCCGGCACCCGGGGGGAGGGGCAGGCCCTGGCACCTGCACCTGGTCAGTACCCCACCCCTGACTCTGAGCTCCAGGGGGACAGGGGCTCAGGTCCAAGGACCAGCCTGGTGTCCGGTGGTCCCAGGGCAGGCCTCAGGCTAAGGGCAGTGTCCTTGGTCTGGGGCCAAGTGTTTCTCCTGCCAACCTCACTCACATACAAAGTGTTGGCCTGTCCATTTAAGGGAATAACATTCAGCCTTAAACAGGAAGAAAATTGTCAGGCCAGCATGGCTCCATGGTTAAGCATCAACCTATGAACCAGGAGGTCGTGGTTGGATTCCCAAATCCCCAATGGGGGGGCTGGTGGGAAGGTAGGCCATAGGCAGTGTATTTTTTTTAATAGATATATTTTATTGATTTTACACAAAGAGGAATTGAGAGGGACAGAAACGTCGATGAGAGAGAAACATCAACCAGCTGCCTCCTGCACACCCCCCACTGGGGATGTGCCCGCAACCAAGGTACATGCCCTTGACCGGAATCGAACCCGGGACCTTTCAGTCCGCAGGCCGACGCTCTATCCACTGAGCCAAACCGGTCCCGGCAAGCAGTGTATTTTTTAAAAATTACTTGTTGCCCTGATCGGTTTGGCTCAGTGGATAGGCCATTGGCCTGCAGACTGGAGGGTCCCAGGTTCGATTCCGTCAAAGGCATGTACCTTGGTGGCAGACACGTCCCTGATGGGGGGGGGGGGGGTGGTGCAGGAGGCGGCTGGTTGTTTCTCTCATCGATGTCTCGGACTCTCTACTCCTTTCCCTTCCTTTCTGTAAAAAAATCAGTAAGATATATATATATATATATTTTTTTTAAATATATTTTATTGATTTTTTTACAGAGAGGAAGGGAGAAGGAGAGTTAGAAACATTAATGAGAGAGAATCAAAGACCACCTGCCTCTTGCACACCCCCTACTGGGGATGTGCCCACAACCAAGGTACATGCCCTTGACCGGAATCGAACCCGGGACTCTCCAGTCCGCAGGCTGATGCTCTATCCACTGAGCCAAACCAGTTTCGGCAATAAGATATATTTTAAAAATTCTTTGTTTAAAGTATTACATACATTCCCATTTCCCCCCATTAATACCCTTCAGCCCACCCCGCCCCAGGTCCTCCCTACCCCATTCTGTCCAGGGCCATGCATGTATGAGTGCAAGGTCCTTGGTTGGTTACCTCCCCTACTTCCCTCTGAGATTTTGCTCTCAGTTCCTGATCGATCAGTCAGAGGCCGAAAACCAGGTGACTCAGGCTTTATTCCAGGAAAGGCCTGCTGGGCTGTCTCCCAAGGGAGAGCAGCCGCCCATGCAGAGGTGAGCAGGCCACTGAGGGGAGGAATGGGGTTTGGGATACTTGGCGGTGCTGATTGGTGGCTTCACGTCTGGTCCATATAAGGTACATGGTTAGGTGCTCAGGTATTTCCGGCTGCAGGTTACGTCATGTTTACTGTTACTACACCCACCGGGGGGAAGGGAGGATCTATCAGTTCCATGCTCAGGCAGCCCAGTGATGGTTCTCTCATCATTGATGTTTCTCTCTCTCCCTCTCCGTTCCTTTCTGAAATAAGTTATACTCAATGCCACTGAAGTTAAAAAGGATAACTTTTTTAAAATATATTTTATGGCAATGAAAATAGCCCAGCTGCATGGCTCAGGGGTTGAACATCAACTTACAAACCAGGAGGTCACAGTTGGATTCCCAATCAGGGCACACGCCCAGGTTGTGGCTCGGTCCCCATTGGGGGGGGTGCGGGAGGCAGCCATCAGTGATTCTCTCTCATCATTGATGTTACTCTCTTTCTCTCTCTGAAATCAATTAAAAAATACCCTTTTAAAAAATTAAAAATAAAATCCACCTGGACTTGTGCTGTGAACTTTTCCTGCACCGAGTCAGGAACCCACAGACAGGCCGGCCGAGGCAGAGCAGCTGCTCAGGGCCAGGCCTTCCTCATGGAACAGGTGCCCCGCTCAGCACAGCCCACACCCCCGAGGTCCCATCAACCCTCCCGCCAGCCCTGGCTCTGACCCCCATCGCTAGTCCCTCTGTTCTGCTCTTTATCTTGTAAGATGCTGAGAGACACCTTCTTTCGTGGCCGTGGCGGCCCCAGGTTCAGTAGCAAGAGGCAGTTCAGAAAGAGAAAAGGCTGCCAGTGAACGCTGGCTTGTCCCTCACCCACAGCTGCTAAGACTGGAAACGGTGCACCGGGTCCGAGCCTCGGTCTCCTGGCGTGCTGCTGGCTGCCTGGCTGCCGCCAACCGGCCCAGGCGGAGGCTGGAGCGCCCCCTTGCTCGCCCAGGCCGTGCCCAGCAGGGAGGCCCTTTCCCCCAGGAACCCTGTGCTCCAGGTGGCAGGGTCCCACGTGAGGCCCCGAGGGCAGACAAACACGCCAGGCAGGCCCCGGCGGGTGCCCACAGAGCAGGAAGGTCAGAGAACACCTTTATTGTGGGGAGGGGGGTCCCAGGTAGACACACGAAGACAGACACACAGACGGGGCTGCCACAGGAAGCACAGGGAGCCAGGAAAGCAGACACCGGGAGGCTGGGTTCCTGGGGGCTGGGCTGAGAACCCTGGCTCCGTCCACTCCTCCGTCCGCTCCGCACGGACAGGGAGGCCAGGGCCCAGGCGAGCAAGGAGGCCTCGCCTTAGGTGGGCGGGGAGGCTGGGACTCAGGCGGGCAGGGCCCAGGGTCAGGCGTGCAGGAAGCGGTTGAAGGCGTTGTAGGCCGACTCCAGGTCGAAGAGCATCTGGCGCACTTGGTTGTCGTCCAGCTCGTCGGAGGCGGACATGCCGCTCAGGGTCTGCAGCCTGGTGTGGGGGGGGCACAGCTGGAGAGGGCGCAGAGGCAGGGACCCCCAGGGCCACCTGAGGGCCAGACACTCACCACTGGCTGACGGTCTGGCGGCCCTCGAAGTCGGGGGGCAGGTGGCTCATGCGGTGCATCGTCTCCATCAGCTCCCGCAGGTCAGGCTGGATCTGCACACATGCACAGACGGCCCCGTGAACCCCCCGCCCCTCGCTCCCCCCGCCTGCGCCCCCCAGGCCCGAGCTGCACCTCGTCCATGGCGCGGATCTCCAGGCGCAGCTTGTCCATCACCGTGATGAAGAGCTGGGGGCAAGTGCGTGTGTGAGGCAATGCCCCGCCAGGGCCCAAGGGGGCCCCTGGCAGGACTGGCCCAGGCAGAGCCCACCCTCTCCCCGCACCCTGGCTGCTGGTCCGCAGGCTCCTCCCACACTTCTACTCCCACACTTGGGGTTCATCCACCTTGCTGCCCTCAGGAGCTCAGGTGGGTCTCAGGCTGGGGGGCGGGGGGAGGGGACTCGGAGGCGTGCTGGGCGTGGCCCAGGGGAGAGGCCTGCGCCCTCATTCTAAGCCAGTGAGGAGCCGGGGAAGCAGCCGGAAGCCGGGCGGCGCGGGGCTCACCGAGACCACGTCGGCGATGCAGCGGTTGAGGTTGCCCTTGTCGTCCTTGATGGTGATGGGCCTGTCCTCCTTGATCCGCTCCATGGCCAGCGGGCAGTCCAGCTGGGGGCGGGGCATGTGGGAGTTGGCCAGGCGCCTTCCAACAGCACCCATGTCGCCCCCCCTGCCCCCCCCCCCCCCCCCCCCCCCCACGGACTCACGCGGAACTTGCGGCAGAATTCATCGATGGAGCTGATCTCCGAGCCCTGCACCTGCCGAAAGGCGGCTTTGTACTGCACCAGGAGGCGGGAGCAGGCGGCCGTGTACCTGCGGAGAGGACCTGCTCAGGCCCGCCCGCCGCCCGCCCCCGCCCAGGCCCTCTGGGGAGGAGGGGCAGGTGACCAGTCAGAGCTGGGCCACTGGGGAGACCTTCCATCGGGTCTACAGAGAAGGTTCTGGAGGGGGTGGGGACTAGGCCTGGACCGCAGATCAGCTAGAGCCCAGCGCTGGCAGGGGCTCTCCCGGCCTGCTCTCCGAGGTGCTGGTCCCGCCTCCACACCCGGCTACGGCCTCCACACCCGGCTCGGGGCCTCCACACCCGGCTCGGGGCCTCCACACCCGGCTCGGGGCCTCCACACCCGGCTACGGCCTCCACACCCGGCTACGGCCTCCACACCCGGCTACGGCCTCCACACCCGGCTACGGCCTCCACACCCGGCTCACGGCCTCCACACCCGGCTCACGGCCTCCACACCCGGCTACGGCCTCCACACCCGGCTCACGGCCTCCACACCCGGCTCACGGCCTCCACACCCGGCTACGGCCTCCACACCCCGTCAGGCCTCCACACCCGGCTCACGGCCTCCACACCCCGTCAGGCCTCCACACCCGGCTCACGGCCTCCACACCCGGCTCACGGCCTCCACACCCGGCTCACGGCCTCCACACCCGGCTACGGCCTCCACACCCGGCTCACGGCCTCCACACCCCGTCAGGCCTCCACACCCGGCTCGGGGCCTCCACACCCGGCTCGGGGCCTCCACACCCGGCTCACGGCCTCCACACCCGGCTACGGCCTCCACACCCCGTCAGGCCTCCACACCCGGCTACGGCCTCCACACCCGGCTCACAGCCTCCACACCCCGTCAGGCCTCCACACCCGGCTCACGGCCTCCACACCCGGCTACGGCCTCCACACCCAGCTCACGGCCTCCACACCCGGCTCACGGCCTCCACACCCCGTCAGGCCTCCACACCCGGCTCACGGCCTCCACACCCGGCTCACGGCCTCCACACCCGGCTCACGGCCTCCACACCCGGCTACGGCCTCCACACCCGGCTCACGGCCTCCACACCCGGCTCACGGCCTCCACACCCGGCTCGGGGCCTCCACACACGGCTTACGGCCTCCACACCCCGTCAGGCCTCCACACACGGCTTACGGCCTCCACACCCGGCTACGGCCTCCACACCCAGCTCACGGCCTCCACACCCGGCTCGGGGCCTCCACACCCGGCTACGGCCTCCACACCCGGCTCGGGGCCTCCGGGTGGGCCTCCATGGGGACGCTGCAGAAGGCGCCCGGGCTGCCAGCACCCAGGGGCGCCCTCCAGCCAGGAATGAGAGATGGATGCCCACATGCAGACCCCTCTCCTGAGCACCCTGGCCTGGAGGGAAGGCCCCTCTGTGGGTGCAGCGGCCCCGGGCCTCACTCGTTGGGGGTGACGCAGTCCTTGATGTACGCCTTCTCCAGGGCCTGCATGGTCTTCACCACGGCAAACAGCTCCGCCATGTTGTCGTACCTGGGGAGGGCGTGTCCGTCAGCCACGGCCTCGAGGCCCCAGCCCACGGGGAGCTGCCGTGCGGCAGAGCTCAGACCCAAGAGCCTGGGCCTGGGGGGGGCGCTGCACTCACTTCTCCCGCTCCCGGGCATTCTTGTACAGCTTCACTTCCTGTTGGAGAGAGGGGCAGCACGTTGGCACCAGGGTGGTGTTCACATGGGCACACGCTGTGGGTCAGTGCCAACCAGGCAGGGGTGCCCGCCACTCACCTCATACAACTCTGGCTTGTTCCCAGGGGCTGTAACAGAGCAGGCGGAGAGCTGGCAGCCTGTCCACCACCCAGCCCAGCCCCTCCAGAGACCACCCCAGGCTGCGACCCCACATGGGGGAACGCTTAGATGCTCCCATAGCCCCCGGCCACGCCTCTGCTGCAGGGCTCAAAGCTCACCTCCCACGCCTGGTGTGGCTGGGATCCCGTGGAACATCCTGAGGCTCCAGGGGTCACAGCAGAGACCTGAGGAGCAGAACCAGCACCAACTCAGGGGCACCCGACGCCGTGCGAAGAGCTTCCCGCTCTCGGGCGAGACAGACGAGAAACAGCAATAAACCCAGGGCGGTCTCCCCCCCCTCCCCCCCATCCCCCACCCCCGCCCCCCCAAGGGGAGGCATCTCAGGAGAGCGGTCATGGCCCTGTCCCCGTAGCATCCTCATCATACACCAAGGTCAGGGGTCTGACCCCCGGCCAGGGCACACACAATGCATAAATATGTGGAACAACAAGTCAATGCCCCCGCCCCCCTAAAATTAATAAGAAAACGTTTCTAAAGGAGACCAGCCACGGTGTGGGTAAGGGCAGGCTGCTCTGAGCCTGCTGGCCGGGAAGGGGGCGGCAGCCTGTGGACGGAGGACCAGGAGGAGCATTTGGCAGAGGAAACAGCACAGGTATAGGTAGTTTTTTGAGAGAGAGAGAGAGAGAGAGAGAGAGAGAGAGAGAGAGAGGACAAGGAGAAAGAACAGCACCCGTGTTTGCGAAACGTCCATAGGATGCCTCCTGCACGCCCCCCCCCCCCCCCCCCCCCCGGATCAGGCCTGCCACCCGCATGTGCTCTGACTGGAAGGAACCAGGACATTCTGCATGGGAGGATGCTCAACCCGAGCCTACTGGCCAGGACCATAGGAGGGCAGGCTTTGTCTAAGGTCTGATGTGGGGGAACAGAGAGCCAGCCGGGGTCTCTGAGTCAGGGGTGACCCAGGCCAGGCGTTCCTGATTGGACAGGTTCTTGGGCTGGGAGGGCGCGGGCGGGAAGCAGGGCCCAGGCAGGAGGTGCGCCCTCGGTCCGCAGGACTTGAAATGGAAGCCTTAGGGAGTTAACTGAGCCCCGTTGGGTTCCAAGGGCCGTGATAAGGAGCTGGGATGGGGCCGGGGGGCGTGCCCGGTTCAGATGCATAATTTGAGGCTCCATCAGACACTGAGCCGAGGGTCGAGGCGGCGCGTTCCCGGCGGGCGGGCAGCTGAGCGGCTGCGGGCCGGGGTCCGAGGGCAGGGGCTGGGCGGCGGGGAGGGCGGGCGCCGGATGGCAGCCCCCTGGGCGGGACGCGGAGCCTGAGGACCCTCCGGCCCCCCCCGGGGGGGCAGTCGCCGGATTCCGTTCCATTCAGAACGCACACCGGGGCCCCCGGCGACAGGCGAGCACGAGCCTAAACCCCACAACCCGGACTCCGGGCCAGAAAAGCGAGTCTCCGGGGAAGGCTGTGGCCGCGGGGACACGGCCGCCCCCAGGCCCGGGGGAGCCGGCGGGGGCTGCTGCCCACCCACCCGTGGGGCGCCACCCCGGCACCCGGAGGGAACCCGAGGCGAGGGGCCCTCGCGGGGCGGCGATGCCCGCAGCCGCCCTGCCCTCAGCCCCGAGTACCTGGCAGGAGCCGCGCTGCGTCGGAGATGGCGCCGGGGCGGGGCCGCGATCGACTGCTCGGCGCTCGGCCACGCCGCGCATGCGCACAGGAGCCCCGCCCCCGGCGCAGCGGAACCAGGAAGTGGGCGCAGAGCTCCGCGCGCAGGTCACGCCGCCCCGAGCCCGCAGGTCCTCCAGCGGCGGCACCTGCCCGACCCCCGATCCCGCGGCTGCTTCCCCGCAGCAGAACCGACCCCGCCTCCCGCCCCTCTCAGGCAGCCGGTGAGGCGGCAGCAGTGCTTTATTGGGGGGTGGGAGGGGGGAAGGGGGCGGCGGCCCCGCTGGGCTGTAAGAGTCGCCGGAAGAAGAGCCGGGAGCCTCGGTCCAGGGTGCAGGCGGGGTCCGGCTGTCCGGACAGCAGCTGGCCCGGGGCGGCCCGGTCCTCGGCGGACAGCCGCCCGCTGCACAGCTGTAGCTCCTGCAGCCGCGCGGCGATCTTGTCCCAGAGGCGGGGGCCGAGGGGACCGCGGACAGTACAGCCTGCAGGGGGGCGGGGGAGCAGGCCTCAGGGAGCTGCTTCCACCAAAGCTGGGAGGCCCGCGGGGGGCCCGCCCCAGGGCGCTCTCCAGCCCGCGTACCCTTCCTTGGGACAAGTTGCCCGGGAAGGAACACGCAGGGCCCCAGGTGTGGGCCACTCTAGGAAGGGGTGCTCTCCCCGCGGCCAGGCAGAAGGGAGGGTGGCGGAAATAAACACCGCGTCCACATCTGTGCCTCTGAGTGTCCATGACAACGCCCGGTTTTTCCATCCATAAGGAGCACACAGTAGGGGTGCCTGTGAGGCTCAGGCCTGGTACACTCAGGACCCAAGGCTTGGTGAGAGTGGAACCCCAGGAGGCCAGGGCGGGGAGATGGGCCACTTGGAGGAGCAGGAAGAACCAGGCTCCTGAGTACCCACCCCCAGCCTGACCTGCTGAGGACAGAGCTGAGCTCTCCTTCCCCAGGCTCCCGCTGAATGAGCCAGGCTGCTGCGGGTCTCCCCTGGGTGCTGTTGGGCACGCCGACCAGGAGAACAAGCCACAGGCTGGGAAGGGAGGGTTGGCGAGCAAGAACTGGGAAGGCCCCTCAGTGGCAGCCTTTACCCCCTTCCAATTACTTGTCTTGTGTCACCTGCAAGGCGCCCAGCCACCCCAGCTTCTGGCTAGTGCCAGTGACAGCCCCTTCAAAGGGGGCACCTGGGCTGCAGGAGGTCCCTGAGGAGGAAGCTGTGTGCCCAGCCCCAGTGTGGCCGAGGTGGCACCGTCCCCAGCGCTCACCGGACAGGCCCAGGAAGCTCAGGCCCTGGGGCCGCTCCTGCAGGGCAGACAGGAGCTCCTCCAGGCCAGCACAGCTGATCTCGGGGTTGGCAGACAGGTCCAGCGAGACAAGTGAGGGGCAAAGCGGGAGGCACCTGGGTGAGGGAGGAGTGAAGGGTCAGTTTCCAGGGAGGGAGGCCCCATCACTGGGGAAGCTGCTCTGCGGGCCACGGATAACCAAGCAGGTCTCGCCCCCTTCCTGGCACAGGCACAGGCTCAGGCGTTCCTCCGTGGCTGTCAGAGCACTGCCAGGGGCCAAGGTGGTCGTGGCCAGGCTTGGGGTACATTCAGGAAGGAGCTGGTACCATCTCTGCTCCCCTTCCCTGCCTGACCTAGTGCCCCCCAAGGCTCCTGGGCCTGGAGACTAGAACCCCCCAGGAAGTGGGGCACAGGCAAGGTAGTGTTACCTGCTCAGGTCTCTCACTGCCTGGTCACTCAGGTGGTTTGCAGACAAGTTCAAGTGCGCCAGCGCACAGCCTTCCTAGACACAGAGGCCAAGGCTGCAGTGAGTGGTGCTTGTCCTCCTGCCTCCCAGAGGCCGCCCAGGGAGGCCAGACTCCTTCCTTCTGTCTTAGGGGTGAGGGGACATCAGAGGGAGGCAGCATCCCCTCAATTTGTAGATCAGAACGACTTGAGAATCGTGGGTTCCCCTCCCGCCCGGAAGTTCCCCCAGGAGAGAGCACCGGGAGGCTGGACATTCCCTGGGACCTGCTTGGGGCAGGAAGCTTCCCCAGGCTGTTCTGGAGAACCTGCAAGGCCCTCCCAGCCCCGCCCCAGGCTCTGGCCGGGTGCCCAGGGCTCCCGTGGCTCGGTGTCTGGCCCAACCACGTACCTTGGTCAGGTATCTGACCATGGGTCCCACCAGGCCCGAGTCACTCTTGGCCACCACGGAGCTGACCTCCAAGTGCAGGAGGGTCTGGACGGGCAGGCTGCGCAGGGTCTGGGCCAGGGCGGTGGCGCCCAGGATGTTGTAGGACAGGGACAGGGTCTTCAGGTGCTTGGCATCTGAACCAGGGGCCAGAAGCGTGGTCAGCCCTACACAGCACCACCCAGCCCAGCTGCAGAGTCCTGGGCCTCTCCTCGGGGAGCTGTCGCCGAGACCTCGTGCACAAGGATCAGGCCTCCTGCCTGGGGATGGGTGCAGGCCAGACTCCCGAGCCCAGCTTCTCCTCATGTCTCTGGCCTCTGTCTGCCCTGACCCACGACAGGGGAGCACTCCCCCACTGCCCCAACCCCAGGCTCCCCCACTGCTGCTCACAGCCCTACAGAAAGGCCCTCTGGGAACCACTGACCCAGCCTTGGCGCTGCGACCTGGCTCTCTGCAGCCCTGCTGGGTGTACGTGGAATGACTCGGGCCACGGACAGAGCTGGTGAGAGCAGTGGAGCTGGGGCTCTGCCTGTGGTAGGATCTGGCTGGGAAAGTACCAGATGCTCCTACCATGTCTGTCTGCCTACATAATGCCCCAGGCGCCCCTGCTCAAGGCTCTGAGTCCCTGCACACGCCCTCCTGATGGCAACTGGAACCCTGGGGCCAGGAAGTGGACGTGTGGTCAGCTCACCTAAGAAGGCCTGGCCCAGGGCTGCCTGGTGACTCAGGAGAAAACTGGCGCCGAAGCCACAGGCCCGGAGGTGCAGAGTGCTGAGTGCAGGACAGGCCTGCAGGACCGAGGCCAGGACCTGGCTGCAGCCGTCCCCGAGGGGGTTCATGCTTAAGTCCAGCTCCTCCAAGTTCTGGGAAGACACAGGCCCCCATGGGATCGGATGTCCGCGGCCCCCGGCCCCCGCAGAGCTGGGCGCCAGTCAGCACACCACGTGTGCCTTCCTTCCCACGTGTCTGGCCTGCTGCTCCCCGTGCTTTACCTGCAGGGTGGCCCGTCCCGCGAGGCCGGAGGCTAGCTGGCGCAGGCCTTCCGGGCCCAGGTGGTTGGAAGAGAGGTCAAGGAGAGTCAGGCCAGGCAAAGTGTGCAGGGCGGCCAGCAGCTCGGCGGCACAGCCGTCCCCCAGCCGGTTCGCGGCCAGGCGCAACTCCCGGAGCGCCGAGTGCAGCTTGAGGGCCCGAAGCAAGGGGGTGAGCTGGGCCTGGCGCAGGGCCAGGGAGCAGGCGCTGAAAGAGGGGCCTACACCCTGGCGCTCCATGGCCTGCAGCACCTGCGGGTGCTCCCCTGCAAGGGGACGTGGTGTCACCAGGGCCAGAGCCAGCCTGTCTGCCCCCTGAAACCTGCACAGCCCCTCTCACTCTCCAGCCCACCTGCCCCAAGCCTGTGGGCCCCAGGGCAGGCGGGCGGTGTGCAGACCTGTGTCTGCCCCAGGAGGCCCTCCTCACCTCTCAGCCTGGCAGCTCCCAGAGGCGCCAGACTTCCTGCCTGGCCAAGCCTGGCCCAGCCTCTCAGCTCTGAGGTCTCTACAGGGTCCCACACCGCTTCCCCCACACACTGCCCACACTGGGGGCACTGGCAGGGGAGGAAGACCCAAGGACAGGTGTGGAGACCTGGGGACCTGGCAGAGCAGGTAACAGTGGAGCACATGCCCAGCCCCTCAGCCAGGCCACCAGGAGCCTCCTGGGCTCTTACCCTGTTCCAGACTCTGGCAGGCCCTGCGGTAACGGTCCGTCAGCGGCGGGAGGTCCCACGAGGTCACTTCAGCCAACACCTGAAAGCACCATAGGCAGGCAGCCCCGGGGACCCAGCACCGGGGACACCCACCCTCGGGCCTGGTTCCCGCCACTCACCTCCTCATTGCTCTGCAGCACATCGGGGATGGGATCCTGGGGGGCCAGCAGGGCCCCCTCCTTCCGTAGGGTGAGCCTGGGCAGCAGCCCGCAGGCCTGGTAGTAGCGCTGGGCGGCCTGCTCGGCCAGCCAGGCCACGGAGTGGGCCTCCTTGCTGTGGGACCAGAGGCTGCGCTGAGCCTGGCCCTGGCCACAGCCCTGCACAGCTGAGGAAACGCCCCCGGGCCCACCCTCATGCTCTGGCTCCTTCCCTCCCCTCCCCACATGCCGCCTCCAGCTCCCGGGCCCCTCCCAGGGGCCACCTCTGCTTGAGAAGAGCCCCCCCCCCCCCCCCCCCCCGCCCTGTGGCCCCACCCCAGCTACCAGGCCCTCGAAAGGGCGTGCCAGCGCCAGCAAGGCCACGGGCTCCACCGGATGCACAAAATGCACCAACACCAGGGTTCTCGGCTGCCACTGCAGATCCCACAGGGGCACAGAGGGAGCGGGGCCGCCTTACCTGTGTGGGACGGGGATGAGGAAAAGGTTGTCCTGAACGCGAACGCGAACCCGGATGGCAGGAGGCAGGACCGGCCCCTGGAAGGGGCAGAGAGGGATAGCAGACAGAAAAAACGGCCCCTGGCCCTGCCCTGCCCCCGAGCCACCGCTGGAGCACCCATCGGCCTGAGCACCCACCGAGGAAAGGCCGGCAGGGGGGGCGTCCCCGCTGCTGGGGGCCTGAGGGCTCTGCAGGGGCTCCGTGCGGGAGCTGCCCTCTCCGCCTGCTCGGACCGCGGCACTCCTGCTCCTGAGAAAGGGCAGCTGGCTCTGCCTGGCCTGGGCCCGGGGCCTGACGGGACTCTCGTCACCGCTGGACTCCGAGGCGCTGCGCCTGGCCCTGTACCCACCGCCCTGGGGGCGGGAAGGGCGGCCGCCCTGGGGCGGCAGCAAGTCCTCTTCCAGCCAGTCCCCGGCCAGATGCTCCTCCTCGGGGATCAGCGCCGCTGTGGGAGGGGCGGCCTCCCCGGGGCCCCGGGGTGGGCCAGGCTTGGGGCGGCAGCTCTGGGCGCTGCCCACGCTTCGAATGGCCGCCCGGTAGGCCGCCGGGCCAGCCACTGCCACCTTCCTGTTGTTGACGTGGTCAAGCACGCAGGCCCCGGCTCGCCGTGCCGGAGCAGAGTGCCGAGGCCTCTTCTGGGGGGCGCCCCCGCTGTCCTCGCCCTCCGAGCTGCTGCTGCTGCTGCTGGCCAGCTGGTGCCTGCTCCTCCGCGGCCTGGCCACAGCCGGCGCTGCCGGTGCCTCCCAGGCCCTGGCACCGGCCTGAGGGGCCTCCGGGGGCACTGGGCGGGGGCTCGAGGGAGGAGAGGTCTCGGGGTCAAAGAGACGGTCCCTCGGGAGGCTCCGGGGAGCCAGGGGGCTGTGGGGAGCTGTGGGGAGAGGGGTCTGCGGTGAGGTGGGCCCTGCACACCCCTGCCACCCACGGGAAATGCCCGAGGCCCAGGAAACCCTCCAGGCAGGGGCGCTGTCCCGGGGCAGGAGGTCCCCGCTTGCCTTGGCCCGAGGCGGCCTCCCTGAGCCTCCTCTCCATGGCGCCAGCCTTCGCTCGTGTCTCGAGGTCCAGGTCCCGGTGGTACAGCCTCACCCACTGCTGCAGCGTCTCCAGCGGGCTGTGGCCCTGCGTGGCACCCAGCTGTGGCACCGGCGGGCAGACCCGCCCACCGTGGCCGTGCCCACCGGCCCCTGGCCCCACTCACCTTCCTGGTGCGGAGGGTGACGGACGCCCCCCGGTCAAGGAGCAGCTCGGCCACCTCAAAGTGGCCGCAGGTGAGAGCATCGTGCAGCGGAGTGATCCCCTCGCAGCCCTGGCCGCCCCGGTCGTCCACCGCGGCCCCGTGGTCCAGCAGGAAGCGGACGATGTCTGTGGACGGGGGATGTGAGCCAGCTTCCGGCACCCTGCTCGGACCCCGCCCTGTGTGACAGGCCCCGGGCCGCGCTCACCCAGATGCCCGTAGTTGCAGGCCTCGTGCAAGGGTGTCCAACCACAGTGGTCCCGAGGGTTCAGGGGGTGACCCTGTGACCAAGGATGGAAGGAGCCTGACCCCAAGTGCCCCACAGCCTGGCCCCCTCAGGGCTGAGGCCTGAGGCCTGAGCAGGGCCAGGGCCTGAGTCCCACAGTCCGCCAGCAGCCTGGCCTGGCGGTTCCACCACGAGGTAGAGGCAGGCAGAGCCGAGGGCCAGCAGCCTCCCGCCCCTTCCCTTGGGGCAGGTAGTGGACCCACAGGGTGGGGGCGGGCCCACCTGCCGCACGAGGTCCTGGACGCGGCCCAGCTGGCCCTCGATGCAGGCTCGGTGCAGCAGCGTCTCCCCCACGTCATTGCGCCGGTTCCACTGCGGGCACAGGCGCCGAGAACACGCATGTTGGGGGAAGAGGCAGAGGGACCAGCCCCCCCGCCCTGCCCCCGCCCTCGGCCTCACCTTGTTCACCTGCTGTCGTCTCAGGCAGCCCCGCAGCTCCTCCTCCTCCTCTAGGTCCTGGGACTGGCTCTCGTCCTCTGAAAGCCAAGCGGGCACGGGTGAGCAAGCCCTCCCCACCCAGCCCTCTCCCCCAACCCCCTCAGCCAAGGCCAAACCTCCCACCTGCCCTGGACGCTCGCCAAGAGCCTCTCACGTCCAACACTGAGCCTCTCTCCTAGGCCCAGCCCACCCTTCTGCCCCCACTGCCCCCAGATGTGCAGCCCATGCCCGCTCAGACTGTCCCTCATGTCCACCTGCCACAGGCTGACCTCGGCTGCCCAGAGAACCCACAGCACCGTTTCAGGAAGCGCTGAGCTCCACTCTCACCTGCTGTGAGCTCTGAGTGCCCTTTCTGCAGATCAAGCCTGCACTACCTCCGCCTGGACGCCCACCAGCTCCCGTCACTGACGCTGCCCAGGCATCCTGTGCACCCCTCTGCCCACCTCACGGCACTGCCACCTCCTGGCATGGATCTGTCCCCTATCCGACCTGTGACCAGGCCCCATCCTCACCAACCGCAGCCCGGGCCAGCCTGAGCAGCGAAGGGGAGAAGGGACAGGGCCGCCGGCCTGGTTCAGGCCTCACCGCTGTCTGAGAGCTCCACCTCGCTGGCCTCCGGGGTGTCGCTGTCCTCCTCCCCTTCCCCGTCCTCCTCCTCGTCCTGGTCCACACGCAGCGCCCGGAGCCTGGCTTCCGTGCCAGGGGCCTCCTGGGGCTGCAGCCGCAGCTGCACCCTGTGGAGGTGCTGCAGGACCTGCCTCTACGGAGCAGGCGACGCCCAGTCAGGGCCACAGGGTCGCCAGCCACCACGGGGGGAGACACGGGGGGGAGACACGAGACGGGGACAAGGGCACCAGCTGGGTGGACGGGGTCACACCTGCAACTGGGGCTGCTGCGCCTGCTGGGCACAGCCGAGAGCCTTCTGGAAGCACGGTGCCAGCTCCTCGTAGGTGTCACCGGCCTCCTCGCGGGACAGAGCAATGTTCAGCCAGGTCTTGGCCTCCTGGAGCGAGAGGAAGATAAACGGGTTCCGTGACAGCTGCCCCGGCAAACGAAATGCCCACCTGTGCGGGCCCCAGGTGGCAGTCCCGGGCACGCCGTGGGCATGGCAGAGACCGGGGCGCGCCGTAGCTCACCTCCAGGGCGTTGCCCTCGCGCAGCCTCAGCTCCTCTTCATAGTGGCGCACAGCCCCACGGGGGTCCTTCATGTCTCCCAGGGTGGCGGCCAGGGACACGTGGATGACGGCCAGCTCGGGCCCCGGCCTCTTCAGCAGCTTCGCAAAGTCCAGCTGGGGGTGCGACAGGGCGGCTGCTGCACACCTTCCGGGCCGGAGCACTGCAGGCCCTCCCCTCCCCGGCCCTCCGCCCTCCCCTCCAGCCGGTGTGCACCTGCTTCTGGTAGGCCGTCACCGCCCTGGGGAAGTCGCCTGCCTTGGAGAACAGGTCCCCTAGCTGCTCACAGATGCCCATGGCGCTCTGAGGGTCACCGCTCCCGCACTCCTCCAGCTGCTGCTGCAGCCGGGTCACAGCCAGCACTGCAGGGAAGAGCCTCATGCAAGGGCGGCAGACACAGGCCCGGCCCTCAGTTAGCTCCGTGCCCTCAGGCGGGCCACCCACCCTGCCCAGCCTGCTTGGCCGTTGGTGAGGAGGGGCAGGCAGAGCATCAGCCCTGGTTACGAGATGACGCTGGCTTTGTCTCTCTGTGAGGGTGCCAGTTCGCGTGGAAACGCCTCGGCTCCTGACCACCCTCATGGCCCCTGCGCACACCGCGCTGTAGACTCAGACAGAAGTGGGGTTCTCCTCCCGATAGGAATTGGGGCTGCCGCCTCCCCAAGGACACATGCCCAGTCCCCTCTGCCAAGGAAGGGGAGCCCTTAGCTCCCGGGGTCCCCCCTTCCAGGCTCACCGTACTTGAGGGTCTGGCACACAGCCGCCTTCTGCAAAGGCTTCTGGGAGCCCAGCCTGTAGGCCTTCTTCAGCGCCCTCTTTGCAGCCAGAAAGTCACCGAGGTCCTGGAGAACCTGGGGGACGAGGGAGGTAAGGCTTGCCTTCCCGGGGCCCAGCCAGCCCTCGGCTGTGCCCACACCCACAGGGTGCCCACACCCTGCACCCTGAGGGCGCCCACACCCCACACCCCAGGGCACCTGCGCGAGGAGGACGCAGCACTCGCTCTCCATGAACCCCTTCCGCATGGTGCGCGCGCACTCCCGCGCCCCCTCCAGGCAGCGCATCGCCTGTGAGTGCTGCCCCTGGCGCCAGTGGATGGCGCCCAGGTTGTAGCGGGCGCGGAACAGGTCCTCGTACAGGTGGTTCTGCCTGCGGGTGACGAGTGTGAGTGCCCGAGGCGCCAGCCGGACCCCGGAGCTCTGAGCGCGGCTGCTGAGGGACACCACCTGGCCCGTGGCAGACCCACCAGGCTTCCCCCTCCCCCAGGGCTGCTTCCTCTAGCGACAGGGGAGCTAGCTCCCTCCTGGCCAAGGGGGCAGGCTTACTCGGCCAGGAAGATGCTCTTCTTGAAGTAGTCGTTGCATAGGGCCTTCTGCCCCAGGCTCTCGAAGGTGAGGCCCAGGTTGAGGTAGAGGCGGGCCCTCATCTCACTCAGCTCTCGCTTGGGCAACATCCCTGGAAGACGACCCCTCTCAGACACGCAGGGCCGTGACCCCAGGTGGGGGCTGCGGCTTTGGACCCCATTCCCCACCCCTTCTCCTGCCTCTTATCGGGGGTCCCAGGGATCGTGCCGCAGACAGAGTGTGGAGGAACCAAGAGCAGACAACGGATTGCCAGGCTTGAGGCTGCCGGGAGCACAGATGGGGTGCCCCCACACGAAGTGACTTCTAAGAACAGACCCCGGCCCCACCACAGGAGGCCCAGGCAGGGACAGAGGGTGCGAGGCCGGATCACGTGCACTCACCCTGCAGCTTCTCGTCCACAATAGCCAAGCTCTTCTCGAAGGCGGCCTGAGCCTGCAGCAGGGCCTCCTGTGACTGGCTGTGGTCATGGACGTCCAGGTGTGTGCGGCCAATGGTGGCCCAGGCCCTCTGCACCTCAGTGTAGTTGGACAGGGAGTGGGCCAGCTCCAGGTAGTGCTGCTGGTGCTGGGGCACAGGGGGGGCAGGAGCTGTGACCAACCCAAACCCCACAGGTCACTCAACTCCAGGGGGGTCCCTATGCTTACACAGGAGAGCCCCCTGCTCCCTGGGACACCCCTCCCCCCAGCACCTCCTCTATGCCAAGGGCTGCCCGTGGAGACGCTGGCAAATGCCAGGCTAAGGGAGGAACAAGGCATGAAGGTTAGCCAGGCTCCTGCACCCCGGCTGCAAGGGCCAGGGCCAGCTCTGTGTGAACAGTGGGTCCTGACCCTCACCCCCCAGTCCACACAAAAAGCTCAAGTGGTGGCTCATGAACGGTTGTTTCTGGGGCCAAGCTCCCAGGAGAGCAGCCACCCAAGGACCCGGGGACCACCCACTGGCCCGCCCAGTCGCAGTACGGCCTCCTCTAGCCAGAGGCTGGGACAGCAGGCTGTTCCTCTGTCCTCAGAAAGGGACCCCTGCCCAGCCAGCGTGGCTCAGTGGCTGAGCATGGACCTATGAACTAGGAGGTCCCATTTCAATTCCTGGTTGGGGCACAAGCCAGGTTTGTGGGCCCAATCCCCAGTAGGCGGCCAGTCACTGATTCTCATCATTGATATTTCTCTCTCTCCGTTCCCTTTTCTCTCTCAATCAATAAAATCAATAAAATGAAAAGAAAGGGACCCTTTCCTCCCTTACCCCCAACCCCCACGAAGGGCAGGCCCAGGAGGTCTGTGTCTGGCAAGCGTGGGTGCTGGGTGGGCACGCCCACCTTCAAGGCGGCTGAGTAGTCCCCCATCTCCGCCAGCCGCTCCCCGATCTTCCTGTGCGCCACGGCGCAGCCCAGGGCGTCCTCGGCGCTCTCCCGCAGCCGCAGCTCCTGCTGGTGCTCCTGCAGGGCCTCAGGGTAGCGGCCTGGGTGCAGGCGGGCGGGCTTCAGCAAGCCGGGTGGACGGCCGAGGACCGAGCAGGGCAAGGCTCTCCGCACCCGTCCCGGATCCCCAGGTCCTAGCCGCGGACCCCACCCCGAGCTCCCCGGGCCCCAGCCGCGGACCCCACCCCGAGCTCCCCGGCCCCAGCCGCGGACCCCACCCCGAGCTCCCCCGGCCCCAGCCGTGGCCCCACCCGGTCCCCCGCGAGGGACACACCAAGGCTGGCCAGGAGCTCCCCCAGCTGGTGGCAGAGGGCGGCCTCCTCGCGCAGCTGCCCGCTGTTCTGGGCCTTGGCCTTGGCTTTGAGCAGCTCTACGGAGAGAGAACGAGGCTGGGAGGTGAGCCTCTCCGCCGCGCCCGCCCCGGGCCCCAGCACTCGGGCGCTCGGCCGGGAACTTACGGCGAAGCTCACGATCCAGGCTCATCGTTCGGGCGCCGCGCAGGGATCCGGCCGCCGGGAGGAAACCGGACTTCCCGCGCTCTCGCGGCCCCGCCCCCCTGGCCTCTGCGCAAGCCCAGCACCGCCCCCGCGGCGCGGAGCATCCTGGGAAGTGTAGTCCAGCCGCCGGACCATCCCGGGACTGTAGTCTGGCTGGGCGGGAAGAGCTGCGAGGGGGCGGCGTCTGTCAGGACTCCGGGTCGGGTCGTTTGGATGCGGAGGTGCCCCCGCCCCCGCCACGGCCCCTCAGATTTCCCCCTCCCCCGTACACACACCAAACCAACCACAGGTGCGAGTTTTCCTAAGGGGGCACTGTCCTCATGAAGGAGGTGGTCTGTGATCCGCAGGCTGAGAATGTGTGCACATCCGCTCTGAATGTGGCTGCACTACCGACCCTTTTGGAGACTCAAACTCAGTGCCGCCAGGGGAGGGCGGTGTTTCTCCGTCAGAGCTGCAGGTCCAGGCTGTGCTGAGAGGCGGCAAGAGTGGCACTTGCCCCAGAGCCGTGCTAGCTGCTCCCGCGGAGCTCTGCGCACTTCTGCACCCCGTGGCCTTGGGGCGTCCAGGCCCAGGCTCTGATCGCCTGCCCCGACCCCACCCTGGGAGAATCCAGCACCTGCCACGCCCGGGGCTCAGCCCCTGCCACCTGGCATGCCCAGGGCACCAGGTGCCATGAATGGCGTCCCAGAGGCCCCAGAGGAGGCATGAAAGAAAGGAGTGGGAGATGGACGTGTTTATTTTATTGTTTAAAAAAATAATATTTTGCCAAAACCGGTTTGGCTCAGTGGAAGAGCGTCGCCTGTGGAATGAAGGGTCCCAGGTTCAATTCCAGTCAAGGGCATGTACCTTGGTTGCAGGCACATCCCCAGTGGGGGGTATACAGGAGGCAGCTGATCTATGTTTTGCTCTCATCGATGTTTCTAACTCTCTCTCCCTTCCTCTCTGTAAAAAAATCAATAAAATATATATTTTTAAAAATAAAAAATATTTTGGTTTTTAGAGAGAAACATCAATGTGAGAGAGAACACTGATCACCTGCCTCCTGCATGCCTCCTACGGGGGATCAAGCCTGCAACCCCATATCCCTAGCATGTGCCCTGACCAGGAATACAACTGGCAACCTCCTGGAGCACAGGATGACCCCAACCATCTGAGCCACACAGGCAGGGGTGGGTGTTTCCTCCCTATGGAGATCAGAAGACTCCCAGTGGGGTAAAGCCTCACCCAGTGGACGGAGGATGTCTGCTAAGGAGGGAGGGATGTGGAGGGCAGATGGGTTCTTAGGTCCAAGAAAGGCTTCCCTGGGCCACTGCCCATGCCACAGGGGTGAAGGGCGAGGCCAAGCCTGAGAAGCTGCCAGAGGCAGGAAGTTAGACCTGAGACCCTCATCCTCTTCTGCAGAGTGCAGTGCTCCGCTGGGAACCCAGGCAGGCCTGGTGACGGGGGAGCAATACCAGGAAGTGGACTGGCTTGGCTGAATGGGCAGAGCTTCTGGAAAGATGGTGACTGGGCACCCCCTACAACACCAGCATTCTCAAGGCAGCCCAGGGCCTGGGGGCCCGATTACCCCTCAGAGGACACAGCTACTCCATGCCTCAGTTTCCCCACAGATCAGACAGGGATATGCACATACAAGGTAGTGCTGAGCAGGGGCTGGAGGCTTGAGGTGGGGAGGCCACAGGCTGGCGGCCAGCAGGCACGGAGGCTGAGCCCTGGCTGGGAGACTAGCCGAGCCCAGGCTGTCTTCTCGTAAAGAAACACAGACAAAACATGGTTTGGAATTTTTTTAAAACTATAGTTACATACAGAAAATATCCAAAGAAAACGCAGACCACAAAAGTGACAGGTATGTCATTTCCAACAGTGGTAAAAACGCCTCTCACGCCACTCTTTAAAAAATTACCTTTATTATTTTTGCAATGTCTCACTTTGGGTGAACTGAGAATGGAGTGCTCGCAGGGAGTGGGGTTGAGGGGCAGGCAGCTGGGTCTGCGCTGCCCGGCTGCCCCCACAGCCGCAGAAGTGGCACCTCCGCCTGCTCAGGTCAGGATGCCAAGATGGCAGGGTGTCCTGGAGACAGACCACTGGTGTCTCTGTAAATCAGTGGCCCAGACAGATGATGCCACAGTTTCGTGGCAACGCCATGGGAGCTGAAATTCACCAGGGTTCCTGGCTGCCCCTGGTTGTACATCACAGGGCTGGGATGTGTTAGCAGTCCTCTTGGGCAGCCCAGACACACCTGTACCTCCTACAGGGAGGGCCCTGGGCGCAATCCCACACCCTCACCCACCCCAGACTGCGGGCAATGGGGGCTGTAAGCCCTCACGTGGGGCGGACCCTCCTGCCACACACACAAGGCTGTTGGTCCCAGGCAGCCACATACCTTCCTTCACTTGCACACTGAAGCCTGCCCCCCCCATGCCACCCTGTCCCCAGGAGAGCCACTGGGGCTGCCCTCGTCGACTCCATCTCACACAAGCCACCCGGCACAACTGGGAGGCTCCATCCCAACCTGGATGCCCTCACACCACCATCATTCGGAAACCCAAAAACTTTAAGAGAAGGTGTCGGTCCCCCAAAGAGGCTGAGATGCAGTGACACAGCACAGTCTCCTACTCAGGACACCTGACATGCATCTACCTCAGTGTCTCCTTTTCGCCCATGGGGGGGGCAGTCGAGGTCAGTGGGACTCACCCCAGGGTGTGTTCAAGTTGAGATCGAAGCGGGTAGAGGGGCTGCAGTGGGGTCCTTTGTAGAGTGCCTCCTGGTCCCCACAGTGCCAGGCCATCTGCAGACGAGTGATCCCCAAAAACCCCATGCCCTGGGCTGGAGCAGGAAGCCAAATAGTTTCCTCAGAGTAGCTTGGGGAGCCAGCCTGGCAGGAGAACCAAGTGGAGGGCCAGGAGTGGGAGGAGCCTGAGAGAGAGGCCAAGCTGTGGCTGCACTGCCCACGGAGCCCTGCAGGGTCCGAGCGACAGGACTGCTCCGAGGCACAGGGTGGGCCTGGCCGGGGGCAAAGGAAACAGTTCTTTGGTATTGAAGCAATGAAAAGCTGTGTCTCCTTAGCAAAGGCGGACGGGGGCGGGGGAGGCTCTCCAGTAGCTGTGAGGGTCCCAGGTCCTCCAGACAGGGCTGCTTTACCCTGAGGCCCACACTCCGGGCATGCTCCCTGGGGCTGGGCTGCAGGGTCGTGGGGCCTGGGTGTGTGTTTCAGGGGGAGGGGGAGAAGCTACGCTGCCCAGGCGCTGACCTCCATGGTGGGTCCCAGACGCAGGACCAGCAGCTGCTTACCTGACCCTCACCAGCCAGGCTCCGCCACCACCAGTGGCTCCCGAGCTTTCCTCCAGCCTAGGGCGTCGTGCCCTCACTGCTGAATACAGAGGAGAGATTCTCTCTAGCTAATTTGCATAACTTACAGAGGAGCCTGTGAGAATTTCATTTATTTCCTGGGAAGAGACAGAATTTCACCCTGCATTCCGAAACGTCCACGAGCCCAGTGGCCAGTCCTGCCTCCCTGGGGTGGCTGGGGGTGCGCGGAGGCTGTTGGGAGGCCCCTGCCCTGTCCACTCCCCTGCTGGGCCCATGGCAGAGGAAGCAGCATCTCCGAGGGTCTCCTAGGGGCACACTGAGGGATGAGCGGCTCTGACCCCCAGGCCACCAAAGTTTCCCCACTGTCCAATCACAGCCACGCCTTACCCTTGAACAAAACAGCAAGTAGGAAACAAGGTGCCTTTTTAATTGCAATCAGATACGCTGTCTGAAGCCAGCGCCGGAGCCGGCCCAGGAGCTGTGTGCGGCCCGGGGCAGGCGGACACTTCGCCGGGCGGCAGAGGCCGGCAGGTCTGCTGAGCTCGCCTTGCGGGGTCCCTGGACCAGCCTCCGTGCCCTGGACAGGGAGGCAGGTGGAAGGCCGGGTGGTGAGTGCTCACACCTTCGCACACGCATGCAGACTTTCCCGTGTTCTCGCCTGTTCCTCCTCTGCCGAGATGGTCAGACAGCACTGCAAAGCCGCGGCCAGGCAGGTGTGGGCAGCGCAGGGGCGCCTACTTCTGGATCTGGAAGAGGAAGAGCCGCAGGTTGATGTTCTTGGCGGCCAGCAGCTTGTTGCACTCCACGGAGTCCACGATGGGCAGGGGCACGTAGTCCGTCTCGTTGCTCTCGTTGGTGAAGACGAAGTGGTAGATGACGGGGCTGATCTTGACGTCGTCGTAGGGGCCCTTGAGCAGCAGGAAGGAGCACTCCAGGGGCGCCGTGACCTTGCTCTTGAGCAGCAGCTGGAAGGACAGCGTGCGCTTGCAGGACAGGTTGGGGTTGCGCTCCGAGTCGTTCACGCGCGCCTTCAGGACCCACGTCTGGTTCAGCACCGTGAACCGTGGCGTCTCGTAGTACAGGCGCGTGATGAAGTCGTCCGTGCGGTACGGCCGGAACTGGACCTCTGTGGAGACAGACAGGCGGGACAGAGCCGGCAGTCAGGGCGGGCCGGGCTGGCAGCGGTGCCTTCCGACCAGCCGAGGACACAGGCTCAGCCAGGGAGGAAGGCAACTTACCAGGAGGACACGGGTGCTCTACTTGTCAAAGGCAAATCAAAGGCAATTATGGCAAATGGAGGCACACAAGCTTTGGGGAGAGAAGTGACACGCGTTAGCGGCAGGAGTCCGGAGGCAGTGAGGTGATGGCCAGCCCGCCCCCTGGCCTCCCTCCTGGCCCCGCCCACCCCAGGGCCATGGTAAGCAGACACACAGACAGGATGCAGTTCTGAGAACAGTGCACTTTATTGGTTCCATACAGAGCTGCCAGGAAGCCGGCAGGCAGGCCAGTAAGTGGCACCTGGCCAGAGTCGGGCGTGGGCATGCGGCCCACTGCTGTGCTCTGCTGTCCAGTCCTCAGCACAGCACGTGCCCAAGGCCGGCTTGTCCCTCCAGAGGCGGCCAGTCCTTCCTGAGCGGATGGGCTCCCTGCCCTGCCTCCGCCCACGTCACGCCGCCTTGGCCTGCCCGGACACCGAGGTCTGGCCTGGGCTCTTTGTGCCGTGGTGCCCACCGGGAGACTGCGGCTGCAACTAACCGGCCCCAGGCCCTCAGCCTCTCGCCGTGCAGGCCCACACTGAGCCAAGCCCGGTCCAGGCAGCACAGCGACCGCCCTTGCTGCTTTGAGCTGGCCCTCGGCATGGGCTGGGCCGTAGAGGCTGGAGTCTCCCTGAGCGGCCCCAGCATCAGCAGGTGCTTCTGGCTGTTCTGTGTCTAGACCAGGCTCTGGCCTGGCTCCTGTTCCCAGCATGTCCGAAGGCAGTGACCAGGAGAGCCCAGGAGGTCCAGTGGGCTGAGTGTGGTCCAGCCTGCCTGTCCCTGGGAGTCCATTCCAGCTCTGCACTTCGAGCTGGGCACCCTCAGCTTGTTCTGCAGCCCTGGCCCTGAGCATCTTCTTGTGGCTTCGGAAGCTTTGTGGCCACTGCAGCCTCACACCCACATGCAGGACCCAACGTGACGAGAGTTCTTCTGGCCCTGGTCTGCGAGGCAGGCCACCAGTTCCTGGGCCCCGAGCCATCCCCACCCATCCCCCACACAGCAAGGACCCCACCTGCTGAGGTGGTAGGCCAGGGTGGGAACGACAGGTGGGAGGGGCCTGTGAGAGCCATGCAGGTGCCCTGAGGTCCTGCCCGGCCCCTCCCCTGCTCAGCCTCTGGTCCATCTTCTCCCCCAGGTGTTCTGCACTCAACAGGAGCTTGTGCAGAGCCCAGCCCCCCAGCTCAGCCTGTGCCCACTGCCCAGAGCCCGGTGCTCCCAGGCTCCCAGCCGCCAGCCCCAGGCTCTGTGGCCCGCGGGGGTGGCGGACGCCTCACCTGTGTAGCCAATCTTCTCGAAGCTCAGCAGGCTAAAGATGCTGTTGTAGAGCTGCATCTCCTTGCGGTGGCTCTGGTCCATCTCATCCAGGATCTCCATCAGCTCATTGCCCGTCTTGGTGGGGTGGGCACAGGCGGCCTCGTGCACAGTCAGCTCATGGAAGGGGCCGTGCCACGGGCAGCCAATTCGCTTGTACTTGCACTGGGTCACCCTGGGGGCGAGGGGGCATCGTGGTCAAGGCCTATGCCTCAGGCCTCCATTCAGCCGCACACAAGCTGCTCCCTGAAGCACACACTCAGTGGGTGTTGCCACCCAGGAAGAGGACAGTGTGAGACGGAGAGAAGGAGCTGTGTGAGCACAAGCCACTCACACCCACGGTTGTGGGGTCTCCGCCTGGAAACAGTGGCTGCCGACTACTATCCCGGACCCGGTACAGCTTCACTCCAAGTGATGCTCCTGGCCAGGCCCCAGCTGCGGGGGAATGGGGAGTGGCCAGGACTGGGCTGGGGTGCCTCACACCAAGACCCCCGTGCTCCTGAGCTGCCACTCTCTCCTGGGCCCAGGAATGCCAAGGTCAGCCTCTAAGAGGCCATCTCACACCCAGAGCACCCGAGAGAACCTGGGTGACATCCAGACAGCCACTGCGCACAGATCCCAGGCCCTCGTCCTCTGGACCCTGAGCAGCTTCACGTGGCCCAGCCCCCCGAGGGCAGAGCACAAGGCCCGGGCAACAGGCACCAGCCAGAGCACGGTGCACGCTGAGGCCTTGCCTGCCCCAGGCGGCCTGCAGCTGGGCGGTTACCTGTCTTGGCACTCCTCCTTCTGGTGCCTCTCCAGGAGAGAGCGGGGAAACGGGCGCAGGCAGAAGCCACACTCGGAGGGCAGCTCGCTCACGGCCTTCTCCACAGCCAGGTTGCGGCAGCAGAGGCTCTTACTGATCTCACAACGACAGTTGGGGCACGTGGCCTGCTCCTCCTTCAGCCGGGCATCTGCTAGTAGGTGGATAAAACAGCCAGCGCACATCAAGTGACCGTTAGTACACTGCGAAGAAGGAAAGGGAGATGAGCTCACAGACCTGTGGACTCGCACGTACACACATGTACACACACACACACACACACACACGCTGCCCGCCAGCTCCAGTGGTGCTCAGCCCCACAGGGACACTGCTTGGTAGGGTCAGGCCTCTTTCCGGGAGCCCTGCTGAGACACGGCCAGCCGGCTCCTTGTGAGCCGGCCTCCAGGGTGGCCTGTCAGCTTGTAGAGGTTCAGGCTCATCACCGAGGCAGGCCTGCTGGCGGCGAGCCTGGCCTTTCCCATAACAGGAGTCGGGGACAGTCCTGAGGTCCCCGGTTCGAGCACCTACAGGAACTCAGACGCCTGGTGGAGCGTGGCAGCCGATGCCGTCGCCGGGCCGAGGCAGGTGCGCCTCTCGCTGGCCTTCAGAGGGGCCGCCTCATGCTGGGGCTGGGACCTGGTCCCTTCCCCTCTGCCTCCTTGATGGGCACGGGTGAGCAGGCAGCTGCCACCACACAGTGATGGTGGCTACCTGCAGGTGCCTTCCCAAGACCTGTTGGCAAAAAGCTGTGGGGGGGAGGTGAGGAGGCCGAGCTGGCCTGGGACAAGAGCACACGGACAGTGCATGGCAGAGGGAGGAAATGAATGGGGGGAATGGGGAGGGGGACATGTTGCTGCCATGGGTAAGAGCCAGGCCCCTCTCCTTTGCTGAACCTGAAGATCTGAGGCCCAGAGATTGCCTATCAGCAACCGCCACTCCCACCGAGGCCCTGAGCCTGTGGACAGCAGGCTGCTAGCTCAACTCCGTGGGTCTCTCACTAGCTCCACACACTCCTGAGCACCCACGTGGTGCCACGGTGGACCATGGGCTGGGCCCCTACAGGCTCAGTGTTGGGGAGGAGAGACACACACAGGAGCCACACAGGTGCAAGAATAAAGAGCTGAGCTGAGCCTGGCTAGGTAGGTCAATCGGTCAGAGTGTCCTGATATACCAAGTTTGCAGGTTCAATCTCGGGTCAGGGCACATATAAGAACCAACCAATGAATGCGTAAACAAGTGGAACAGCAAATCGATGCTTCTCTCTCTCTCCCTAAAATCAATCAATAGATTAAAAAAAAAAAAAAGACTCATACTGACTGTTCTCTTGGTGCAAACAGAATCCATGTCCACACAAACTTCACAGACTATCTGCACACAAACCTCAATTTCTAAGTCAGTGCAAATGGTGGGGAGCTGGCTGGCTCAGTCTTGGAGGACAGAGCTGGCAGGGGATAGGCCGCTCCAGCTCTGGACACACAGCTGGTCCCAGGAGTGGTGAGGAGGAGCAGGGTGGAGAAGCAGTCTGTCCTTCCCACCCCTAGGGGTCAGTAGGAGACACATGCCACAGGCCCCTGCAACCTCCTAGGAGGCGTAGACCAAGGACCCACATCACATTCCTCTCGCCAAGGACCTGAGCCAACAGAGCCCAATGTTGCCAAAGCCTCGGGAAGAGGGAGGAAAGCGACACGGCCGACTCACCACTTGGCAACAGGAGGAAACTGCAGGCCAAAATCCGGAGCAGCTGGCTCAGGAAAGCCGACAGGACACCAACATGGGACACCCCTGGGCCTGGGCACGTGCCACTCCAGACCTGGACGCCTCCTGCTGAGCAGCCACAGCTGGGGGCACCAAACCCACAAAGGCCATTCAGGCCACGGAGGCCCCCCCGCCAGGCTCAGCAGGGCCGTGGGCACCACATATCCCACATCTCCGCCCAAAGGTGCGTGGGAGGGACTGCAGCTCCACAGGCACCCAGCTGCTTCCGTGCAAGCCTCACTTCAGTCTGCAGTCCTGGGCCCTCGCTCCTGACGTCACGCCACCCGAGAGCCAGGACTCAGGTGGGAAACTGTCACTCCCACTGAGTCAGGCTCATTATTCAGAACTAGGTGCTGCCCGGACCACAAGGTAACGCACAGGACAAACCACACCAACAGCTTTGCATCTAGCCAGTCCAGAACCCTCTCGGTCCTGGCTGTGGACACCTCAGCAGATACATTTAAAACTCTGCTCTCTACCTGTCTCCCCAAAAGCACGACCCAGCCACAGCCCGAGAGCGGGGAGGAGGACCCCAGGCCTTGGAGGAGGACAAACCCACCTGGACTTACTTAGGACAGTGCCTACAGCCCAGGCCTGCACACAGCTGCTGCGAAGGCGTCCGTGAAGGTCCCCAATGCCTGTGCCACACCCACCGGCCTGCTTCCTGAGCCCTTTACCAAGCCGGTAAAAGGCCCCTTGTGCCAGGGCCTGAGCTGAGCTCGGGCAGCGACAGGAGGCCTTGAGGAGGCACAGCAGGGCCTGTGAGGACGAGCAGGAGGGCACCAGGTAGAAGGGACCCAGGAGGAACAGGCTGGAGGAGCAGGCCTGGGTCTGAGGCCAGGAGCGGTAGGCACAGGGGTCAGAGGCCAGTTGGGACCACCTCCCAGAAGCGCCTTCCCCCGATGAGGGTCACAGAGAGCTTTTCTGGCTGAGCACTAGTGAGGAGTGAAAGAGCTGTGTGGCCCCTCCCTCCAGGCACACTCCATGGCTCAAGGCCTCAGCTAATGTCAGAACCGGGTGGGGATGCACTGGGCCTGGTGTGAAGGGCAGGGGAGAGCCTGGGAGGGAGGGAGGGAGGGATCAGGCCATGGCTCCACACTCCAGGCACCGAAGCTGTTTGTCCCAGAGAAGGTGCCTCTGGCAAAGGGGCTGGTCCCGTGGCTGTGACCACACGCTGCATCCAGAGCAGACGCGGCCCTTCTGCCCCACCCATGGGCCTATCTCGGTGCCCTCTTAGGCTGCATACCTTGTCAGGCCAGTCACTAAGGACACCCACACAAAGAACATGAAAGCCAGCACCTGCTGTACCTGCTCTGCACTGACCTGACCTGATGCAGGCCTCGATGAGGCCCACTGGCCTCAGTGCTGTTCGTGGCTGAGTCCTGAGCAAGTGCCCGACCCAGACATGTGCCACGATGTGCCAGGAGAGCCGCCTGCAGGGCTGAGGTTCAGACTTGAGAGCAGGTGATGGGCCCATCACCCACCAAGGCGAGCCCCGACCACCACTAAGGCTTCCCTGGGGAGATGGAAGTGGGGTCTGGTGGCCAGAGAGCAAGCTCTCGAGGGACCAAGCACTCAGTGACTCCAGGCCCATGGAGTGTCCTCACAGCCAGTGCCAGGAGCAGCAGACACCAGCTAAGACAGCTCTCAGAGGCACAGGATGGCTGCTGCCCACCCTGAGCCTGGGTCCAGATGGGGTCAGGGAAATGTTGCCCAAATCAGCCCAACACTACTCCCCAAAGAAGGCCTGCAGAGGGGAAGGGCTGAGCCCAGTCCCACAGGTGGTGGCCAGTAGTGGGCATGACCAGGGACGTGCAGAAGGCTCTGGGCCCCGCATTTCCAGGCAGCATGTGGAACCCAGATCCTCCCAAGAGCACTCAGCTTTGGTGCCAACCAGGTTTGTCTGGGCTCCTGCCCTCGATGCCCCCATCCAGGGTCACTATGGGTGAAACGGGACACCACACAGCAGCAAGTCACCATAAACCTTCCCTCCTTCCCTCAGCTCTCCGGCCCCTCCCACCTGGTTCCGGCCCGAGCCCTGCTGGGCACCCTGGCCAGGCGCCCCGTCCCATGGCGGATCCTCCAGCACCCAAAGCGAGTTCTGACGGGGTAGGGCTCTGGTCAGCCCTTACAGTGCCAAGGGCTCTCGCTGACCCATGTGCTGGCTTTCTCCTGCCTCGAGGCAAGAAGGAAAGCATCCCACCAGGCCCAGGTGTCTGCCGCTGGAGGACGGGCTTGCACGGGGCTTGGCGCCGGGCTCGCCCTGCTGCAGACATTTCTCAGGGAAGCCGTGAGTAGAGCCATCGGCCGTGGGGAGGGCCATGGTCAGTGATGCCCCTGCGCCTTTCTGCCTCACAGCTACTCGGCTCCAGCACAGAGCGGGCCGGTCTGAACCAGCCAGGCTCAGAGGCCTGGTCACCAGCAGCTCTGGCCACAGGAGAGCTCAGCTCTCCGTGCTAAGCGGACTAGGAGCCATCGTGCCAGGTCCAGCTTCAGCCCACTCACTGGAGGGTGGGGTGGGGTGAGGAGACCCTCAAATTTCCCTGGGCCCCCATACCATTGGCTTGGCTTCCTGGGCTGTCACTCAAGGCCCACGGTTCTCCCACCTGGGAGGACCAAAGGTCCTGGGCAAGGAGGGGGCTAAGAGAGGACAAGTCTGGAGGTGCATCCCCAGGCTGCGAGGTTATGAGAATCGCCCCCCACTAGTGCCAGGCCCAAGGCCTGCAGTGTCCCTGACCAGGGCCTCGGGCCAGGAGCTCCCCAAAACCAAGGAGGGAGGCTGAGAACTCGGCCCACTTCCTGTCCGGCACCTCAGGGGCCTCCTAAGCAACCACATGCAGGAACAGCAGAAAGGAGGTGAGAGACCCTGAGGTTGGAAATGGTAAACCAGCCCAGCCCCAAACTGCTCATTACAACAATGGCCGTCTCCCCCAGACCCCGGTCTGATAGAAGCCCAACTTCTGTAGCGCTGACGAGTGACAAGGAGCCTCTTCATCCCTCAGCGGGGTGCTGGGGCTGGAACAGACAGGGGTGTGTGTGTGTGTGTGTGTGTGTGTGTGTGTGTGTGTGGAGGGCTTGAGGTGGAGAGACAGAGGCAGGCACTGCACACTAACTCTGGAGCCAGCCTGTGGTCCCTGATGCTAACAGTACCTTCTTCAGACCCACCTGGGCCAGGTACCCTCCAGAACTGCCCCGAACCGGCTAAGAAGTGGGAAAACAGGCACCAGCAGAGCGTGGACAGACCTCCTAGAGCGCGGTAGCCTGGGAAACCAGGTCTGGGAGAGGCAGGCGGGGCTGGGAGTCACCCAGGCACAGCATGTTCTAGGGACCCCGGGTTAGACTAGGAAGGGACCCGGACTCTGGCGCTGGATGCAGGTGCTTCATTCAGACTGGAATGCGGGAAAGAAATGGGGGAGGGAGAAGAGGCATCCCCTCTCTTCTCAGTATTTTTCCAGAAAAAAGGAGGATGAGGGGGTTCTTCCTCTCAGGAGGAAGAAGGGGTGCCTGAGGGCAGGTTTGGGGGAGGTGGCTGCTGAAAGAACAGAGGAGCTCCCCGAGTCCAGCAGCTCAGCAATGCGGGGAGCAAGCTAGGGCGGGGGGATCTGTCACCCGCTTTCTCTCCAGCTTGGGGGGCTGCGGAGGGCGGGGGGGGGGGGGGTGTAACAGGGGAAAGACACATCGAGGTGGGAGGAAGGTCCAGGCCGGGAAACCAGGGGGATCGGAACAAGAAGGGGTTCGAGCAGGAAATAAAATCCTGGAAGGAGGAAGAGGAGGAGGAGAAGCTTCCAAACAGGCGCCGGAGTCCCGACCGCTGGGCCTGGCCTCGGAGGAGGAGACGCGGTGCCCGGGGCGCCGGCCTGGCCGGGTCGGGGTCGGGCCAGCGGCCCTACCTGGTACACGGAGGCCTTGGGCAGGTCCAGGCAGACGGTGCAGCACAGAACCGAGTAGAGCCGCTCCTCCAGCTTCCCGCTGCCCGCCGCCGCCTCGGCCGCCTCGGCCGTCCGCAGCCGCTTCTTGGGCGGCGCGTCGGGGTCGCCCGCCGCTTCCTGCAGCTGCCGGGCGCCGGCCAGGCCCGCCTCGTCCGGGAGCCCGGGCCCCGCCGCCTCGCCCAGCGCGGCAGCGGCCGCCTGCCCTGCGGCCGCCCCGGGCCCAGCCGCGACCGGCACGGCGCCGGCGGACCCCGCAGCCGGACCGCCTCCGCCGGCCTCCTCGGCGCCGGACATCGCTGCCGGCCGGCCCGGCGGGCGAGGGCGCGCTCCCGAGGCTGGAGGTTAGGGCGCCGCGCGCCGCCGCCGCCCTGCCGCCGCCGCGACCCTGCAGCCCCGCTCCCTGCGCCGCCGCCTCAGTGGATCCGGCCCGCGCGTCGCCCCGCAGCTGCCGCGGCCACCGACCCCGGAGCGGCCGCCATCTTTGTTTTTGCTCCGAGCTCCTTCCCCCACCGCCGCCACCGCCCCCTGGGTCTCTCGGTCATGTGACATGCGCGGACCAATGGACGCCCGGCGTGGGGTTAGCCGGTGCGGCGGGCAGAGCCAATGAACGCGCGAGGGCCGGACCCTGCAGAGTGGGCGGGGCCGAAGGCGGCCCGGGGAGGGCGCACCTGGGGCCGCCGGGAACCGGCGCGCTCCGGGTGGCTCCAAGGCGCGGCCCAGGCGCCGCTGGTTACCCGGGATCCTCACGTTGGGGTGTGCCTGCGCCTTTGTCCCCCAATACACGAGCTTACGTGGACTCGACCTTGCTCACTGGATGGATACATCCCACGCCACCCCTCGCCCTCCTGTGCGGGACCAAAAGTGCATCCACAGGAGCCAGCGCGGGGACTGCCAGAAGGAGCACCCCAGACCCGAACCTGACTCCCTGCTCTGCCCAATCTGGTTTCCTAACCCTGGGGGGGGGGGGGAGCTGCAGAGGGTCCGTAGAGGAAAGCGAGGGCTTGCCTCGCACAGGCTGGAGGACAAACAGAGGTCCAGGCAGCCCTCGGAGGGAATGTGCGTCACCCGGGCCAGCAGCCCACATGGTCACTGCCCAGAGGCCCACCTGCCAGGCTGTGCAAGAGTGTTCAGAACTCCACCATGCTCCTGGAGAGCAGGCTCCCAGAATTATGTCTTCTCCATCCAGGTGCCAGCAGGAGCCCAGGGTGGGCGAGGCCCTACGCTGCTTCCTGTGCATCCCCTTCCTTTGCTCCTGGAATCCGGTTGCTGACATGGGAGCTTTAGAAAGTCAAACCCTCTCAAGAATGGGCAGATTCCATATTCCTGTAGAATCCCTAAGGTTTATTGGAGACCAAAGCCTCTCAGAATCAGAGCCCCACATGTGCTTGGACGCCATCCCCTTTATTCTGGTCTAGGTGGGTCCTCACACTCCACCTGAGGACCAGTGCCCAGAGTCTGACCCCAGAGGTCACCCTGCAGCAAGCCACTTTGGGAGGAAGGAGGATCTGTCTCTAGGGAAGGAGGCCCAGGGAGGCGCGGTGGTAACCAGGGCAGAAGCCCCGCCCAGCCCAGCAGCCTCCAATCATCACTCCCACTGCAGGCGCTGAGTGTGCAAGGCCCGGTGGTAGGCCCAACTGCCCGCGGCCAGGACCCAGCGGCAGACGTCCTCCTTTGGCAGCAGCAGCAGCCTGTCCTCCTCCAGCCGGCCCAGCAGGCCTGCAGCACCCAGCATCAAGCCCCCCCACATGCCGTAAGTGTTGGCTGTGAACACGGCTACAATAAGAATAGTAACCGCCACCACCAGCACCACCGCCTGACCGGCCACTGAACGGCCCTCCGCTCCTAGGTGGTCGCCAGCCACGGCCAGCACCATGCCCCCTCCCAGGAGCAGGTTTGCAGAGGAGCGGTCCCCATTCACCCAGTGAAAGTCGAAGGCCAGAAGGGGCAGGCCGATGACAGTGGCCACCCAGGCTCCAGCAAGACCATCTTCATCCGAGCCCAGCCCTGGAACCAGCATGGTGGCGGCGGCCACGGCCTGGAGCAGGAAGCCAGCAGCAGCCCCTCGGCTGGCCTGTCAACACAGGGAGGCGAGATGTGGGGAAAAGAGGCCAGCACCTTCCTTTACGCTGGGGAGGGGCCTCCGGGGTCTCCAAACACCTCTCACCGCTCTCTCCCTGAGCCCAGGAACTGGCCAGGTCCGTGGGGCTCGGGAAAGGGCGACTCCCTCCCAGCCCCTGGGTACTCACCTGGGCAGTGCTCAGGGCTGCGTGCAGAGACACCACTCCCAGCGCCAGGTGGGACAGGACCATGCTCCACTCACCCCACGGCGTAGGTGCCATGGCGCCTCGGGCGGCGGGGAATGGAGGAGACACTTGTGAAAGTTAGGAAGGAACGCAGAAGCCGGCGCCCCGGAGCCCTAAGGGCCGTTCTCGAGGACTCCCAGTTTCCAGGGCCCCATTTCTAAATGTTGGGAGAAGCTCACCCGAACGTTCCTGCAGCTCCGAGGCCACTGGACACCACCGGGGAAGAAAACCTATTTTGCCGGAAAAAGAAAACGGGGGTGGGGGTGGGGGGCCTAGATTGGGCGGGTGTGCGCCCTGGAACCCGAATGGGGGCGCCAGGCCTGGGGGAGAACCGCTCGGGACGAGCGCAGGCCCACGGCCTGGACTCTGCGCTCGAGGAGGCGGCGTCTCCGGAACCCAACCCGGGCGGAGCGACAGCCCCGGCCCTCGGAGCCGGCCCAGGCCCAGCGGCGGAGCCCCAGCGCGGCGGCACACGGGAGGCCGGAACCTGCGCACGGCGCCGCCGTTCCTGTGCGGCCCGACACGAACCAACGAGAGGAGCGGAGGCTAGAGCGGCGGGGACCAGGCCAGGGCCGAGGTGACAGTCTAGGAGCGCAAACGGGTCGGCGGAGGGAGAGTCGGAGGAAGGGGCCGTAAGGGGCGTGGTAGAGGGGCGGGGCTTCGATGGGCGGGACTATAAGGGGAAAGGCCGGGAGGAGCGTGGCTGTGAGGGGGTGGGGCTGAAAATAATGGGTGGAGCTGTGAGAGGGGGCGGGGCTGAGAATGAAGTGGAGCTGCGAGAGGGGCGGGGCTTAAAGTGGTCTGTGAGAAGCGGAGCTGAAATAAGTGGGTGGGGCTGTGAGAGGGGCGGGGTTTAAAGTGGAGCTGTGAGAGAGGGCGTGGCTGAATGGTGGGTGGGCTGTTAGAGGGGGCGGGGCTGAATTGATGGGTGGGGCTCGAGAAGGGCGGGGTTTGAAGTGGAGCTGTGAGAGAGGGCGGGGCTGAATTGATGGGTGGGGCTCGAGAAGGGCGGGGTTTGAAGTGGGCTGTGAGGGGCGGGGCTGTGGGGCGGTGCAGGATTGTAAGAAGGGGCTGGACGAGGCAGTGAGAGGAGGGGCGGGGCGGTTGTCCGGGGCGGTTTCTAGGGCCGGGTGTAGGAGATCTGATGGACGGGGCTGGAAGGAGGGGCGGCGCTGCAGGAGAGGAGTGGGAGGATGCCGGAGGGGGGGGGGGCTCAGGCTCTAAGGGGCGAAAGCCGTGGGGACCCCCGCAGAGGGCTGGGAGGGGTTCCGAGAAAGGGAGATGCGGGGCTGTGGGCAACCTCAGCCTGCGGGGTTCTGGGAGTTGGGGCTAGGGAGTCGGGGCAGGGGTCCGGCGTGGGCCCTGGGACACGGGTCTCCGGCATCTCTTTCCTCGGGCGCGCGCTCTGCGCCCGCGGGAGCCGGGCCGCGGGGGCGGCCGCCCGGAGCATGCGCACCGGCCGCGCTGCGGGCGGGAGCCGAGCCTGGGAGCGGGGACGCGGGGCGGCGCGAAGCCGGGCCCTCCGCCGCCCCGCGCTCCCATGTACGCCTTCTACTCGCTGCTCATCTACATCTTCTACAGCCTTTTCCGCAGGGACGGAGGGGCCGCGGCGTCCGCCGGCTCCGGGGACCCCGCCCAGGTGAGCGGGGGCGGACGCGGCACGACCCGCAACCCCCTCCTGAGAGCGGGCTGCGCAGGCCCGGGCAGCGCTGGCCACGGGCTCTGACCCGGGGGAGGAGGCCGTGCAGAGGCCCCTGTCTGCTCAGGTGGCCAGCGGAGACCCTGTGGCCCACTGCCCGGCCCCTCCTCAGGCGCCTCCCCTGCCCCCTCCCTAGAATGCCCGCGGCAAGCCCGGGGATCGCCGCCGCCCCGACCAGCGCCCTGCAGATCTGTGGACCGAGCTGACAGGCCTGGTCGGTAGGTGCTGTTAGTGCGTCCGGGACGATGAGGAAACCCCGCCGTCCCAGGGGGGAGAGGTGTCGGTGACCTCATTGGGAGGGAGACCCGACAGGTGCCCCCCCTCCCACTGCCTGGCCTTGCAGGCTGCTCGGAGTCGGAAGATGGGCCTGGAGAGGGATCCGAGGGCCGCCCCGCGGAGGTCTCCCTGGAAGAGGCTCTCGTGCGTCTTGCCGAGTTCCTTTCGGGCCAGCTGGGGGCGGAAGAGAGCTGCGGGTGTCCTGCAGATCTGAGCAAGGTGAGCCGGGCCGAGAGGGGAGCTGGCCAAATCCTTCCTCCCAGTCCTGGCCTCCACACCCCCGGGCCCCTTAGTCTCTTGCACTCTGAGCATCATCTCCTTCGCAGCCCGGGGATGTCCCCCCACTGCTGACGGTGATTGGCCAGCTCTTGGCTCTCCTGGCATGGATTCGGAGCCCCAGGGGGAGGCAGGCCCTGCCCCAGGAAACTCAGCCAGCCTCCGGGGTGCAGCCCCCCGCGACTGCCGGTGCGTAAGAAATGGTGATTTGAAAAGGGAGTGTGTGGCCGGAACCGGTTTGGCTCAATGGATAGAGCGTCGGCTTGGGGACTGAAGGGTCCCGGTCAAGGGCATGTACCTTGGTTGCGGGCGCGTCCCCAGTGGGGGGTGTGCAAGAGGCAGCTGATTGATGACTCTCTCATCGATGTTTCTAACTCTGTATCTCTCTCCCTTCCTCTCTGTACAAAATCAATATATTAAAAAAAATAAAAATAAGAAAAGGGAGTGTGTAGAGGGAGTGAAGACTTCCGGGACCTCAGCAGCCTGCAGTGCGGGGTCCCAAGCCCTGCTCCCGAGGTGCCCCCCCCTTCATGCCAGAAATCTCAATCAGTCCTAACTGGGTACACCCCACCTCAGGACCCACATCCCAAGAAAACCGTTCCCTTTCGCCGGGGGCTGAGGCCCAGGGGGGGCAGCCCCCCCAGTTGGTGGAGGACCAGAGGGCTTGGCAGCAGCTGGAGCAGCTCGTCCTTGGACAGGTGAGGAGCCCAGGAAGCGGTGGGCGGGGGGGGGGGGGCGCTGGACGGAGGTGCTCCACCCTGTCCCCTTCCCCCTTCCTTCCCAGCTGGAGGAGCTAAAGCAGCAGCTGGATCTGCAGGAGGGACTGGGCCAGCTTCACTTGAGAGTGGTGAGGCTGCTAGTAGGGCTCAGGTAGGGGCGGGGAGAGGGGCCAGGGCTTTCAGGTGAGTGCAGAGGTCTTCCTCTCCTCTAGGGGGCAACAGACTCCGAGAAAAGGGTTCAGCATCTGACCCTGGAGAACGAGGCCTTGAAGCAGAGCCTGATCCTCACTCAGGACCTCCTGAGGCACTGGGGCGCCGGCCCCCCTGTCAGGGCTCCGCAGGTATTCTGCCCCATCCCTGCAGCCTGGGGCGTTTGCACACCTGGTCTCCAGCAGCATCGCTCTCCGGACCTGGTGCTCCGGGGGAACAGCGGCAGGGGGCGCTCTTTGACCTTCCAGGACCAGGATGTGAACAGGCCCAGGGCACCCCCATGGAGATTGATGCCCATGGGAGATCCCCCTTCCCCAAACACGCACACCCAGATACGTTCACACACACACAGAGACACACACACTTACACAGAGACACACTTACACACACAGACACACACACACTCACCATGGGTCCTCTGAGTGACTGACCCCAGGCGAGCAAGGGACTTGGGCTAAAGCCTTGCATGGATTCCTGATTGGCTCTGTCTGCCCCTCTTGACCTGTGTGTGCAATGGGGCTGCCAGCATGCCCCTCCGGAGTGAGTCTCCTCCTGGCTCCTTGCCCCCCACTCCCGCAGGAGGAGGCAGAGGCGCTGGTGGAGCTCCAGGGCCAGCTGCAGGAGGCCCAGGAGGCCACAGACGCCCTCCGAGTCCAGGTGAGCGCCCGGCCGGGGCTGGAGAGAGGGAGGCGTGGGGAGGGGCATGTCTGAGGCAAGGCCTGGTAAGTGCCTCCTCCCTCAGTGACGGGCGGGGTGGGGCAGCTGGGGGTGCAGGAGGCGCAGCTGCAGGGCCTCCAGGGGGCCCTCCGGCAGCTCCAGCAGGAAACAGAGCAGAGCTGCAGAAGGGAGCTGCAGCAGGTGCACGGGCAGCTGGCAGGTGAGACGGGGGCTGGGGGCTCCCGGGAAGGCCTCGGGGTTGGGGCTTTCCCTCACCACTTCCTTCTCCCACCAGGACTCCGGGCACGCATGGCCAGCCTGCGCCAGGGCTGTGGGGACCTCCGCGGCCTGGTCAGCACCTTCACTCAGAGCTGCCAGGGCTCCCTGAGCGAGGCCCGGGGCCAGGTCAGGACCACCCGCTCTCCAGTCATGTCTTCCCCTCGGGGGACCCCCCATCCATCCCTCCCAGACCCAGGGCGCTGTCTGCTCTCATGGAGGTTGTGGGGTCTGGAGCCAGGACAGCGCCTGTGACCCAGGTGTTAGCTCACTTCTGGGTCTCATGCGTGTCCTGTGCGAACCGGGGTGGCGGGGGACCCCTCACAGGATTGTCAGGAAGCCCCGAGCACACAGATGGCTCCTTGCCCACAGTCCTGATTGGTGGGCTCCATCAGGCGACCCCAGCCATGGGATGTTGTGGATTCCCACAGCTGGTGGCCGTAGCGTGGCTCCCTATTGCCCTCAGCACCCTCCCCTCGCCTCGGCTGTCCCTCCCTGCCTTGCTCACATCCCTATTCCCCCAGGTATCCTGGGCCCTGAGGACACTGTCGGACAGTGGGGCCGGGGCTCAGCTCCCCGAAGGGCAGCAGGAGCCCCCAGCTGGATGCCCGGGGCGGCTACTGGAGCTCAAGGGTATGGCCACTGGGGAGCACGGGGTGGGGTGGGCAGGCCAGAGGAGCTGGAGCCTCTCTGTGCCGCGGGGTCTGGGAGGCAGCCCATGGCCGTGATCTGACCCCAGGAAATATCCGTGTGCTGTGTCGGCTGAGGCCAGGGACACCCTCCAGCCTGGTGAGCTCGGAGCCCGGCCCGGGCGGCACCGTCACCACCTGCTACCGGGGGCACCAGCGTCGCTTCCGTCTGGACTGGGTCTTCCCTCCGGAGGCCAGCCAGGAGGAGGTGATGCTCTGCCCTCACACCTGTGCCGAGCTCCCTCAGTCCCCAGAGGCCCTGGTGCCCCTGCCCTGCCCCTCGGCCCTCCCAGGAGCTAAAGTGCCTCGGTCCCAGCAGGGAAGGGGGAGGGAGGCTGGGAGGTCAGACGGGAAGCCGAGCCGGGCACATACATTCCTTCCAGGTTTCCCCTCTGTGTCCTCTCACCAAGCTGTGCAGGCCCAGGGGAAAACAGATCTAGGTCAGACAGGAAGGCTAACATTTAAAAAAAAAAAATGTTTTTACCAGGAAACTAAAGAAAATGAACCTGTCTGAGGTCACTGCTCACGCACAGCTGGCTGGGGAGTGTAGCTGGGGTGCTGCTGTGACCACTCCCCACCCCCGCCCCTGGCTCCCCAGGCTGCCTGCTCTATGGCCAGGCCCCGGGTGTGCCTGCTGTGCGAACGGGAGCCTCCCTCACTTTGTGGCCAAGGGCAGACAGGGCGCTGGCAAGTGAGCCTCCAGCCTCTGGGCCGGGTTACCCAGTGCAGACCCCTCCCCTTCCTGCCTGACACACTAGCCTTACTAGGTCCCACCCTGCACTGCAGTCCTGCCCTGGGGTGGGGAGGGAGCTTTTCCCGACAGGGCCCTCCGAGTCAGAGTGTCTGGGTGAGGCTGAGAGGCCTCTCCGTGCCACACCTGTGATAGTGCCTATCAATCGGTGCTTCCTGCCAGACCTGGAGCTTAGACACCCACTCCCGAAGCTGGACTCTGCTCTCCTGGCTGGCAGCAGCACGGTCAGCAGAAATGACAGCGCCCCCGCTCACCAGCCTTCTGTGCATGGATTGATGCTGGCTGTGCCATGGCTCACAGGCAGCTGTTGATGTCCAGCTGCCAACAGGACACACATCACAGCCCCATCTCCCCCAGCCCTTTCCACGCCATCCCAGGACCAAGTCCCCACCCCCCACCTCCCAGCCTACCTGAGCCCACCCTTGCTGTGGAGAGCGTCCGGGCACACGCTCCCCCTTGCCCCTCACAGCAGCAGTCTCCTGCCAGGGGGCAGTGCAATCCTGCCCTTTGGTTTGATCCCGGCCGTGACTGAACACCCTGGCCCTCCCACGTGGTCCCCATGATGCCGATGCTCTGCACGCCTGTTCTCTCCTGTCACACCCCTCCCTTTGGGGGGCAAATTCCCATCCAGGGGGCCCCCTCTGCCTGGCAGGAGACCCACTTCTGGCAGACTTTCCCCAGAACCTCCTTCCAGGGCCTCGTGCCTTATCCCCACCTGGCCCAGGCCCAGGGCTCAGGCCCCTCCCCACCCCTAGGTCTTCCAGGAGCTGGAGCCCGCGGTGCTGTCCTGCCTCCGAGGCTACAGCGTGTGCATTTTCACCTACGGCCAGACGGGGACCGGGAAGACCTACAGCATGGAGGTGGGGAGGGGCTGTGTGCTCGGGGCGGCTCCGGGGGCCAGGGACTAGGACGTGAGCCCCATGTGGCACCCACCCCTCTCCAGGGCCCACCTGAGGACCCCGGCATAGCTCCTAGGGCGCTGCAGTCCCTGTTCCGGGAGATGAGGGCCGGAGGGCACCCCCGAGTGACCCTGAGCATGGTGGAGATCTACAACGAGGCTGTCAGGTCAGGGGACACCCTGGCTGCCTCCTAGTCCCTTCCTTACCCCCTCCCCCCTGCCAAGAACCCTGAAAACCAAGGCCTGGCCCTTCCCACCAGGGACCTCCTAGCCCCCGGGCCCCCCGAGCGCTTGGTGGTGAGGCAGGGCCCGGCAGGCCAGGGAGGGATCCAGGTGGCCGGCCTCACGTACTGGGATGTGCCCAACCTGGAGACTCTGCACCAGGTAAGGCTGCGGGGGGGGGGGGGGGGGGGGGGGGGGGTGTTGGGCGCCCACCCAGCTGCGCTCGCACCCGGGCGGGTGGAGGCTGCAGCGGGCCCCGCCCTGTCGCTGCGCCTTCCAGATGCTGAGCCTGGGGAGGAGCAACCGGGCCACGGCCGCCACCGCCATGAACCAGCGCAGCTCTCGCTCCCACGCGCTGGTCACGCTGACCCTGCAGGCGGCGCCGTCCCCGCGCGGCGCAGGCACCACGGGTACCGCCGCCCCGCCCCGCAGGGTCCCGGGCTGGCCGGGCAGGGGCGCGCGGGGGGGACCTTGCGGGGAGTCCCTCCACGCGGCTCGCTCCCCCGCAGGCACGCTGCACCTGGTGGACCTGGCGGGGTCCGAGCGCGCCCGGAAGGCGGGGGCCGTGTGCAGCGCGAGGGGCGGCGCTCAGGACGCCCAGCGCCTCCGGGAGGCCCGGACCATCAACCGCTCGCTGCTGGCGCTGGGCGGCGTGATGACGGCGCTGCGGGCGCGCCGGCCGCACGTGCCCTTCCGCGACTCGCAGCTCACGCGCCTGCTGCAGCCGGCGCTGGGCCCGGGCGCCACGGCGGTGCTGCTGCTGCAGGTGGGCGCCGGGGCGGGCGGGGTGGAGGGTGTGTGTGTGTGCGCCCGCCCGCCAGGCCCCGCCCGCCCACCGCGCCGCTCCCCGCAGATCTCCACGCGCCCCGAGGACCTCGGCGAGACCGTGTGCTCCCTCCAGTTCGCCGAGCGCGTGGGCCGCGTGGAGCTGGGGCCGGCGCGGCGCCGCAGGGCCCGGCGCTCGGGGACGCCCTCCTCCGTCAGCACGGACACGCCGCTCACCGGGACCCTCTGCACCCCCACGCCGCCCCCGGGGAGCCCCGCCAGCCCCGGCCCCGACGGCGCGGCTCCCGCGTCCCCCGAGGACCTGCTCGCGTAGCCAGGCCCCGGAGCCTGGGGGTGCGCCCTCTGCCGGCGGAAGCGGCGAACCCCCTGCGCTCTGACCACCTTTGACCTCTGGGAGCTCGCCGGTTCCCAAACTCCCAGAGCCGTCTCCCCCCTCCCGGCGAGGAGGGTTCCGCCCGCCCCTCCGCCGGCCCGGCTCCCTCCTTATCGCCATTTGCTGCCCTCTATCGCCCGACGCAGCGGGGGACCCAGCGCGGCCCGGCCTGGCCCGCTGGCTTCTGAGTCGCCGCGATCCCGGCCCCGGCCCCAAACACCAGTCTTGGCATTAAAATGTGGTCCATTCCTTTACTGTTCTCCCCCCACGCCACCACCCACACACACTGGGTCGGGTCCCTGTGCCCCTATGCCTTTCCCCAGAAAGGTGCTTCCTCCTGCCCAGACAGCTGAGGAAGGAAAGGGCTTCAGGCTGAGCTGCCATACAAGTTCTCCCTCCCCCAACCCCGCAGCCAAGAGAGGGAGTGGCAGATGGTGATGGATGGATGGACGGACTGAAGAGGCAGAGAAGGTGGGGTAGGAAGGGGACAGGAAAGGCCACTCCTCCCAGCCTGGCCTGGGGCCGGGCTGACACACCCTTTGTGGGGTGGCCAATAAACATGGTAGACTCTCAGTGGCCACACTTCTGAGTCCTCCTGGCCTTTGGTCCCCTCCACATGGGACACGGGGGGGGGGGGGTAGGAGGGGTAGGGAGGGGAGGAGAGGCAGCCCCGCCCTGGAGCTCACAGGCTGCACCAGGAGAGCAGCCAGCCGGGCGTGGGGGCAGCCAGCTCCCCAGGGTGGCTGACCCACACATCATAGATGCTCTTGTTGGGTGGCACCCCCTGGAACAGGGCGTCTAGATCCCAGAGCAGCCCCGGGGGGCCGTGGGTTTCGGGGGCCACCCCCCAGTAGGCTGGGCCGGATGGGGGCGGGCACTGGGGGCAGGAGGCGGGTGGGAGCGGTGCCAAGGGCACCACCACGTTGGGGGTGTATATGGGCAGGTAGGAGGTGGGGAGCTGCCCCCAAAGCGAAGCCCCGGGAGCCCCGGGGTCGGAGGTGCCCTGCAGGAAGTGGAGAGGCCAGGCCCTGGGCTCGGGGCGGAGGGGCGGCGGCCCGCTGGCTCTCCCCTGGGAAGGCTCCCCCTCGGGCCTCGGGCCCCCCGGGAGCCGGCCGAGGGGCCACCGCGGCCGCTCAGAGGGCTCCCCCTCCTCCTGCCTTGGGGGCGCGTCCTCCCCGGGGTCCCCCAGCAGGGACTTAATGCTGAAGCCCTCGCTGGGCGGCCGCGGGGGGCTGAGGGGCCGCGGCGGCCTGGGCGGCCGGTAGGGCCGGCCGTGCAGCACGTAGGGGCCCAGGTCCTTGGCGAAGGCGCTCCGCGCGCCCCTGCCCTGCCAGCGCCGGCACAGCGCCGTGTTCTGCAGCCGCAGCGCCTCCGCGGGGATCAGGCTCACGTCCACCGCCCAGAAGTTGCCCTTGGCCTTGGGCTTCGCAGGGTCCTTGGGCACCTGGTGTGGGTGGGGGGTAAGGGGGGTTGCAAGCTTGGTGGGGCCGCCCGACCCGGGGCGTTCAGGATGTCCCTCCTCCCCCCGCCCCCGGCCCCGGCTCGGCCCCTGGCCCGGCCGCACCTTGCGGAAGCAGCGGTTGGAGGAGAGATTGTGGCGGATGGAGTCCTTCCAGCCCTCGTAGTCGTCCCTGAAGAAGGGGAACACGGCCTGCACCTGGCGGATGATCTGAGACCGCGGGACGGGCGCCGTGAGCCGGGGCGCAGGGGGCAAGTCCCCCTCCCCCCCAGCCAGGCCGAGGGCGCCCGCACCGCCAACACCTGCACCCCGAGGGGGGAGAGGGCACCTCCCCAGTGAGGGGTGGGGAGCTGAGCACCTCGGCTCTCCCTTCCGGTGCCCAGATCGGCACTGGCCCCAGGGGCACAGCTGGGAGGGCCCGGAGGTGCAGGCCGCGGCCTGAGCCTGGGAGTGGGTGGGGGGTCGGGTCTGGGGAAAGGTCCGGACGGGGAGCGGGAGCGAGAGAGGGGCCCCCTCACCTGGGCCAGCTTCAGCCTGCGGGAAGGTGCGGCCTGGATAACGAGGGCGATCATAGCCAGGTAGGTGTAGGGAGGCTTGTCATGCCGCAGGTACCGCTTCTTCCTCCTCTTGGCCGGCTGGGAGGGCGACCCTGCCCCCGCCAGCCCCAGGCCTGGGCTGCTGCAGGGCCCCATAGAGGGGAGGCCAGCAGCGTGGGCCAGGGTCCGGGAGGGCTGAGGGCGCCGGGCAGTGGGGCAGGATGGTGGGGCAGGGCTGGGGCCTGGGGCTGGGTGGGGGCAGGCGGGCCGGGCCCTTTATCATTCGGATGGAAGGGGGAGGGGAGAGGAGGCAAAGGGAGGTGGAATGGGGCGGTGGGGGAGGGGACCGGGCGAGGGCTGCCACAATTAGCAGGTTTCGGTTAATCTGGGAGGGAGGGGCGGGGAGATTCCTGTGGGGGTTGCAGGAGGCCACCCAGGCCTTGCTTCTCACCCCTGGGCTGCCTTTGGCACCCCCTGTAAGCTGGGAGGAAAGGCCCGGAAGGGGCCTGGGACTGGTGGTTATTGTTTTATCCATCTGTCCGGACTGGGGTGTAGGCTCCCAGTTAACAAACAGGAGGGCGATTTGCCCAGCCAGGCTGCCCAGAGGAGTTCAAGGCCAAGCAGCTGGAAGGAGGTGGACTGGAGGGCTTCCCAGAGGAAACCTGGAGTGGAGGCGGGAGGCAGCCGTTGGCTCAGAGGATTCCCCAGGGGCTGGGGCAGGGCCTCCGCAGCTCCCAGGCCCTGGAGACCGGGTGCCTGTCCACAGCTGGTCCTGGGAGCCGAGGCCTCGTTCACTTTGCCCCTCACCGGCCCTGGGGAGCTGGACCCGCTGGCCATGAGGACTGGTGGGAGCCTCAGCTTTCCTCTCCTGCTCTGGGCCCAGGTGCTCTGGGGTTAGTTACCCCTGGGCAGTAGCCTGGGCTGGGGTGCACGGGAGGGACAAGTCTCTTAGCTAGAGGGGTTTTACCGGCCACTTTTCAGGGAGCCCCCTGGGTCACAGTCCGGCCCCGGGAGTCGTCGAGGAGCACCTGGCGTCACCTGCGTGGGGTGCTGGAGGCTTCTGTGTGTGTGGGTGCACGGGGAGGACTTGGAGGCAGCCACAGCACCCTGGCGCCTGGTCTAGGACAGGGGTGGGGATGTGCAGTGTCGTTTGGTCTGGCCCCATCAGGGCAACTGCAGGCGGGACTCGAAATTCAATAAATTGAATTTTTTTTCAGAGCCACGTAATTTTTAAGTTGATAATTTTGTATGGCCTGCAAATAATGTTATAAATATCCAAAGGCCCTTGCAGAAAAAAGGTTTCCCAACGGTTTTCAGTTTTTTTCATCTCATGGTACACAAATTAATTACTAAAAGTCTGCAGTGTCACACCAACTTTTTTTTTTTTTTTTTTTTTTTTTGCTCATCTGACAAAAAACAACAACAAACCAAATAGGCCCGGCTGGTGTGCCTCAGTGGTTGAGCTTCAACCCATGAACCAAGAGATCACCCATTTGATTCCTGGTCAGGGCACACGCCTGGGCTGCAGGCTTGATCTGTAGAGAAGGCAGCCAATCGATGTTTCTCTCTCTCTATCCCCCTCCCTTCACCTCCCTCTAAAATCAACAAAAACATACATTTTAAAAATCGCTATAATTTGATTCATTTACACCAGATGGCTATTGCTGTGTTGGCTGTTGTCATATTTTCATTTGATGATCTAAAGCAGTGTTTCCCAAACTTTTGACATATGTGTACCCCTTCTATAATTTTCATAACGCCGAGTACCCCTTGTACTCATGAGAATGTAGAATTAGGTGCAGCTAAGCACAGTGCAGTGCATATCCCCACCAAACTTCGGTGCAACGTGTACCCCCACCAAACTCTTCCTGTACCCCTGGGGTACGTGTTCCACACTTTGGGAAACTGGTCTAAAGGAAAAGAGGTCAGTGTCCCTCTCTAGTCAGGTATTGCATATTTTATTTTTTGTGTGTTTTATTTTTCTCTTTATTGATTAAGGTATTACATATGTATCCTTATCTCCCCCCCACTCCCCCCTGGTATCCCCTCACCCCCCTGGTGTCTGTGTCCATTGGTTAGGCTTATATGCATGCATACAAGTCCTTTGGTTGATCTCTCCCCCTTGCCCCCCATCCTCCCCTACCTTCCCTCGGTATTGCATATTTAAAAGCCCTCGCGGGCACACCGGGGTTCCTCTGGGGTCTAGGAGGGAAATGTGCTGGAGCTGGAGGGGCTGGCCTAGGGGTGGAGGGTGCTGGCCTGGTTGTAGGGGGCTGGCCTCTGGGGAGGAGGGGCTGGCCTGGGGGGGGGAGGGGCTGGCGGGGGGAGGAGGCTGGCCTGGGGGGAGGGGCTGGCCTGGGGGAGGGAGGAGGCTGGCCTGGAGGGAGGAGGGGCTGGCCTGGAGGGAGGAGGGGCTGGCCTGGGGGAAGGAGGCTGGCCTGGGGGAAGGAGGCTGGCCTGGGGGGGAGGGGCTGGCCTGGAGGGAGGAGGGGCGGGCCTGGGGGAAGGAGGCTGGCCTGGGGGAGGGAGGAGGCTGGCCGGGGGGGAGGGAGGAGGCTGGCCGGGGGGGAGGGGGGGCTGGCCTGGGGGAAGGAGGGGCTGGCCTGGGGGAGGAGGGACTCTAAGGAGAGGTCTGGAAGCTCAGGCTGGGGAGCCCCCTGCGCAGGCCCGGCCCCTGTGAGGCCTTAGCAGGGACAGGACGGAGCCACAGGCGTGGTCCTGGCAAAGGGCCGCTGGCAGCTGCCTACACCCCCCAGTCCTAACCCCAGACCTTCTGTCCCTCGCCGTGGCCTCCTGGCTACCTGGCCCGGGCGTCATCAAGGCCTGAAAACCCAGACGCCCCCACCCCACCCGGCACGGCGGTCCAGGTCTCACCGGCCGCGGGGGCCGGTGCTGGTGCCCAGCCCCGGGCCAGGGAGGCCATGGAGCTGGCGAGGCCGGGCTGCGGCGCACGTGGAGCCGCGTTCCCACGGCGCCCCTCCCCGCGGACTCGGCCCGGCTCCCCCTCCGGCGTCTGTGTCTCCAGGCGGCTACCCGGATGGCTCCGGCCCGCGGGCCCCGGAGGAGCCAGCTCCCGATCCAGCCCAGCCCCTGACCGCGGCCTCCGCGCCCCCGCCCGCGGCTCGCGCTCCGCGAGGCCTCCGCTGCGCGGGCCGAGCGCCGGCCCGTCCGGTGCAGCGCAGCCTCCGGGCGGCCACCCTCCCGGGCCGCTCCTGCCGCTCCCGCCGCTCCTGCCGCTCAGGGCGGACCGCCCCCGCGCCGGCTTCCGGCCCTGGGCCGCGCGGCCGGAAGTGTAGCGTTGCCATGGCGAGGGCCCGGCGCGGGGCCCGCCCCTGCGGCGCCTGGAGGAGCGCGGGGCTGCCTGACCGACCGGGGGACCGGATCCGAACGATCGCGCGGCGGAAGGTGAGGCTCGGACTTCCGGGGCCTCAGCGGGAGGAGGCCGGGCCCCCGGGAGACAGCAGGCCGGCCTGGGGAGACGGGAGGCCGGGCCCCCAGGAAGGAGGAGGCCTGGCCAGCCTTGGGGAATGGGGAGGCCGGTCCCAGGGGGAGACTGGAGGCCAGCCTCGGGGAGATCGGAGGCCGGCCTAGGGATGATGGGAGGCCGGGGCCCCTGGAGAGAGGGGGCCGGCCTGGGGGAGACGAGATGCGGGCCCCAGGAGGGAGGAGGACGGGTCCTGGGGGAGACAGGAGGGGGGGGCTGGAGGGAGGAGGCCTGAGGGGAGGCTGCGCTGAGCTGGGAGGAAGAGGCAGATAAGATCGGTCGGGAGGGAGAGGAGGAGGCCCAGATGGCCGCCTCCGGGAATCCCAGGTCTGGGCCGCACACAGCCCAGGGCAGAGGTCTCTCCAGGCCCCTGGGTGCTGGCGGGTGAGGCCCAGGGTGGGTGCTAAGGGCCAGGAGCAGCTGGAGGAGAGAGGCCCTGAAGGCCACCGCAGCGGCTTTGACGTGAGGGGTGGTTTTCATTCCTGCAGCCTGTGGTCACACTGGGAGCACCTCCGTCTGGGCCGGCCCTGCGGCCGCCGGGCAGTGACTCACCGGCTGGTGTGGGCTTTGGCCTCGGGCCAGGGCACCCACTGGGGCCTCTCCCGGGCGAGTTCCTTACACCCTCACAGTCCGGGGGCTCGAGTGACCTCGCTTAGAGTGTGGGGGTCCCGGGCTCCGCCTCAGAGATCGGGGTCACGTTGGACTTTCCCCTGGCCCCATGCTGTGCAGGGGGACCCCAGGCCGCTACCACCGATGGCCCCCGGGAGTATGGGGGCGGTGGGGACCCCTCGCATCCTGGAGCAGAGGCTGTGGTGACTGTGGGATTAATTTCCGTAGCTGCGGCCAAAACCGGTGTGGCTCAGTGGATAGAGCATCAGTCTGCGGACTAAAGGGTCCCAGGTTCCATTCTGGTCAAGGGCACATACGTTGGTTGCAGACATGTCCCCAATAGGGGGCGTGCAGGAGGCAGCTGATCGATGTTTCTAACTACCTCTCTCCCTTCCTCTCTGACAAAAAATAAAAAAATATATTTTAAAAGAAAATTTTCGCGGCTGTGGAGCGGGATGTGTGCAGCCTGAGGTTTAGGGAAGCCAGGGAAAGGGGGCCCTCCCCAGACCAGCGGCCTGTTCACATGTGCCGTTTCGGAGTCTGCGTCTCCGGTGAACTTCCGGTGACCGGCATACCATGGCTGCCCAGGAGTGCCCCGCCCCAGCCCCAGCACCGTCCACGGGCAGCAAAGCAAGGCGTCTGAGTGGGAGTCCCAGGCTCTTCCCTCACCTCCTGGCTCTCTCAAAACTTCCTCCTAAAGAGCCCTGATAGGGCCCTTCCCATCCCTTCCTTCATCCAAATAGCTGGGTGCAGAGCTGCCCCCATGCCCCGCCCCGCCCCGCCCCGTGACCCTGGCTCGTCAGCTCTTTGCCGTCCTCCTTTGTACCTCAGCCAGGTGAGTGACCTGATTCTTGTACTCCCCCGAAGTCCTCCCTCCTCTGCTCTGGCCCCATCCCACTGCCCTTTCATGGGCGTGGAGATGGACGGGAGAGAGCGAGCGTCCCCCACCCGTTCCAGCTCCCTAGCACCCACGCTGAGAGGGGCTGAGAGGTGCCAGTGCCGAGGAGGAGGAGGAGGAGGAGGAGGAGGAGGAGGAGGAGGAGGAGGAGGAGGAGGAGGGTGGGTGTGCTCTGAGAGGTGCCGTCTGGGAAGCACCCGCCATCCAGGGCAGAGCCTCGTTTTGGTTCTTTAGGATGCCATGCGGTTCCTTATACATTTAGAACTAGCTTGTGATTTCCCACAAGAAAGCCTTTTGGGATTTTGCCTGGGATCCTATTAATCCTGTAGCTCTCTCTATTTGGGGTGAATTGACATTTTAACAAATGTAGACCATGGAACATATCCATTTATTTAGTGTTCTGTACTAATTATACATTGCCTTTAGAAAATAATCTTAAAATAGGATGGTTTGAGCAAAAAAACATAGTCTCAATGTTTCTGTGTGGGTAAGGAGTTCAGAACCATCTTAGGGGGGTGGATCCTGCCTCATTGGCTGCAGTTGGGGTTGTCCTCTGCTCTGCCTGCCTGGGGTGTGTGTGTGTGTGTGTGTGTGTGTGTGTGTGTGTGCATTCGTGCTTTGTGATGCGGATTTTGTAAATGATATTTAAATTCTGCACTTTCCAAGTACAGAGACATGAAGTTGATTTTGACGTTGCATTGGTGTCCTCAACCTCCTGTTTATTTGAGTAACACTCCTGTAGGTCCCTACGAACGTCCTGCAGGTCTCCCCCACGCCTCTGCCTCATCCCTCTCCATCTGCCCACTTTCTGCTCCTGGCTTCCGGGCCCTCCAGGGGCTCTTCACCCCTCCAGCCTCCAGGGCTGGCCTCTGGCAGGGCATCCTGACACTGGGCCAGGAAGGGTTACATGACAGCTGATCCCTCCTCTTCTGCCGCCAGAGCCATCCCGGTGGTTCCCACTGCCAGTGAGGCCAGGCCGGGAGGCCCCAGCGCCCTTCGCCTGGGAGTGCCCTGCCCGCCCGGGGCCCAGTGCCGCCGAGCCTCGGGAGCTGAGTGCCTCTGGTCGGTGTCCCTGTAGGTCAGCTGCCCTGGGTGCCCTTGCTAGCCATGGCCCAGCCCAGGTTCCTGTTGGGGACAGAGCCGGGAGCAGGATGGCAGTGGGAGGGATGTGTGTTTCACGGACACGTGGTTGGGGACCGTCCTGGGCTGGGTCTTCCCTGGGGGTGCTGGTCGCTGATGTGTGTTTGCTGATTCGAGGGGCTGCTGAGCAGTCGTCGGCCCACATTCTTG